CACACACACACACCCTCCCACGCACGCGCGCACGCACGCACGCAGGCATGTGCTGCATGCATGCATATATATATATATACACATACAGGGTTTCTGAAATCAACATCTGTTGGTATATCCGTGCACATCCATCCTGTGTTGAAAACCACTCGTCTTTGCCTCCAGAATTGTTCCGTTTTGATTGACTGCTGATTTGTTGGGTGTGCCCAAAATCGGGAATCCTCGTTTGTTTTTGCTTTGCTACTCAGGTTTTCTGATGCCCGTTTCCCAGATGTGGGAGTGGATCAGCATCGGGAGAATTCCCCCATCATGCAGAAATCAATCATTCAAGTGCACCCGCGCGGTTGGATGCTACGTGCAAGCTGAAAGCAAGCATCAGTCTTAGCTGTTTTTCACCCTGCAAATCTCGGGCTTCATGAGATATCCAGCCATAATTCTTGGCGGTTCCCAGCGGTTCCTTAGGTGTTTGGATTCTTTTTTTGGGGGGTTGGTGGTTGGGTTTCCCTTTGAACCCATTAAGAGTGAAACTGGTAACCAGAGCCACAATTAGCTAATTAGCCACTACAGGTACCCGGGGATCATAGATTCTACATGGCGCTTTCCATTCAACTGACGACTTAAACTTCGGGTGGCTTCCCCTGGTTGTCGGACATGTCCCTTGCTCCCCCCCCCCCACAAGCACGAGGTGCTCAAAAGCGCGAGCGCCGGCGTGTCGGCGCTGCCGTCGCGGCCGATGTTTGATTGTCCCTTGGCTTTAAAAGGAATTCATCACTACTGGACATATGATTATTTTTTGCTGGGGCCTTAACCAAATGGATCACTTTAGGTGCTTACACGGAAACGCACGTTTCGGCGCGGCCAAGTCGAAGAATGCGGCGGCCAGGACTTCCGGTCCCTGATGACGGAGCACAATCTGCTGAGCTCGCGGGAGGCGGACGGCATCTTCCGAATGACCGGAGCTTAGGGCGCGATGTGCTGCTCAGTGGAGGGGGGAATGGGATGGGAGGGGGGGCAGGGGTAGGCTGTGTGGTGGGTGTCTTGGGTTTGTGTTGGTTTGGTTAGTTTTGGTTGGTTTTTGGTTTTTGTGCTTGTTTCGTTGGTGGGCTGGTTAGTTTTGTTGGTGTGGCTAGTTTGGTTAGTTTGTTTGGCGTGCTTTGTTTGCGAATCCTGTCTGGTTAGTTAGCTTGTTGAGGTATTCTGGCTACTTAGTTTGTTTAGTTTGAGTATTTTTGGTGGTGGGTTGGATAGTTTGCCTAGTTTGTTTAATTGTTTTGCTGTGTTTGATTGCCGTGTTTGAGTGTTTCGTTTTGTAGGTGGGTTGGTGGGTTGGTCGGTGTTCATTTCTTTCATTTGCTATGTTGACTTGCTTTTTGCTGGCTTCCTTTGATTGATTAGTTTGCTTGGCTGGTTTGCTTTGTTTGGATGTTTGACCTGTTGGTTGGCTGGTCTGTTTGGTTGGTTGGTTCAATTTGTCTGCTAGTGTGGGTTGCTTTATTTGGATTATGTGTTTGGTTAGTTTGCTTTGCCTTTGGTTGATTGGTTGGTCGGTTGGTGGGTCGGTCGGTGTGCTTGGTTGGTCTGTTTCTTTGGTTTGTTTATTTGGTTGGCTGGCCTGGTCAGATTGACATCACAAAAAACACATCTCTGAATGCTCAGCCTTTTCTTCTTTGGCTCCAAAGTTGCCAACGTTGAACAGGAAAACATCTTTTGGAGATTGGATTGCTCTTCAAGATGTGTCCGTTGAAAGGTAGCTCAGCCAGCAACTTGTTCAACCAACGGATTCCTGGAAAAGGAGCTCACCACCCCGCAGATTGTGCTTTTGCGTGCCTTTGCGGGTTGGGCTTTTTAAGTCGCAAGGAAGGGTTGTACCCCAACTGGGCATGGATTGTAACTGTATGGCCATCGGTCAAAATCCCGTACCCCCAGTGAACATCCCAATCCCAACTAAAATAGACTAAACTGGTTGGTGCACCTACCCCAAAATGGTACCATTGGTTTTTACCCACAGCCATATGGACATATTTGAGCTCAACAATTTTGAGATGCTTCTCCACAACAAAAAATGGCATTGCCATCTAATCAAAGGGCACGACCACCCTTTCAGGCTCCGTGGGTCATTGCGCGTACACCCGCTGATCTTGGTGGTTCCCAGCCGTCTTCTTAGGTTTCAGGTTTTTAGGGTTTAGTGGGGGTTTCCATTTTCATTTAACCCACAAAAAGTTAAACTTTTAGCAGGTTATCTGAGGACACCCCAGTACAACGGGCCCCAGGGTCTTTGGCTCGGGCACAGACATGGGCGCGTGTTTCTGTTGAGGGAAACCTTTTTCGGGGTCCAAACTCTATGACTCATGGCGCCTGCATCTCCCGGCACTGTAGCATTCAGATCGGCGATCAACGCCTAGTCCTCCAAAAAGGGCGTTCATTGTGGAAAAACAGGCAGTGCACGTGGGTTTGGGGTCCAGTTGGCTTTTGTGTTGGGCATAAGGCTGGCCAAGAAGGTTTCACGATCCCTCTACACTCCAACAGGTATGCCAACTTGGCATGCTCCTTTCTCGACAAGGTGCTGCGCATTTTGGACAATCGTCCCGTCCGTGGACCCTTTTGGTGGTATGTGTAAAGGGAAACCAAAGGAAACAAGCCGTTTTTTGTGGGGTGTCCCCATTTTGTTTTGAGTTTGCCTTTTCCGTGGTTTTAAAGGGAAGCCAGCAGGACAATCACGGTTTTCTGGGATTCCCCCACTGTGGATGGACGAAATCCATTCGCAACACCTTGAACCCATGGCAAACCATTGTGAACAAGTCGGCTGCTGCTTTTTTTTGGGGGGGGACTCATCAGAAACAAAGGGGGTTTCTTTGGTGCGGGAGTGGATTTCGCCGTTTTCCATCCACAGTACTGGGGTAGACTCAGGATACATGTTACATTTTACCAGTGACTCAAAGTGAAGCAAACAATGAAATATACATTCTATAGCTGGTTGCCTGACTCTGATCATGAGTAGATGGAGACCAACTCGCGGAAAGCGGCGAAGCTTTGCGAAGCTGAGGATGTGCAGTCACGACACCATGGCCCGGCCTTCCGTGCGCGAGAAGGCGAACGAATTGGGACGGGATGCGGAGGCGGAAGTGGACCTGAGATCTGATTTTTCCGGTTTGTAATCTTACCTCTTAAAAACACAGCTTTTCAACTTTTGGGGTAACATGGGCTATATGTCTGTAAAAGATTAACTTCCCCAGGGCTTGGAGTTTTAAGGGGTAAGCCTACATTCAATACCCTCCCACCAGCTAACATGGAAGTACAGATCCGTGCAGAAAGACTACTTCCCTTTTGGTTTTGCACTTCCAGCTTAATTGGTGGGAGGGTACACTTTTTTTTGTGGGGGGTATCATGCGGTATCATGTCAACCCTGTACTAAACGAGGAGTAATTTACCATGGAAAACCAGGTGTTCCAAACAAATGCAATGCCCTTATAAAAAGTGCTTGGACACTTGACCATTAATTTTAGTACCTCAGTTTTTCCCCCCAACAGCTGAAAGCCAGGGGGTCTCTGCCCAGATAGGCTCTGGGGTGTTTTGGGGGCAGCTTTCAGGGAGGGTTCCGGAAATGTTGAGGGGTTCCGGGGCTGTTGGTATGGGCTTTTGGACAAACACCCGGACAAAAACAATATGTTGGCCTGTGAGGTATTATTAGTAGATGGAGCTCGTGTAGTTTCGGGGTGTACAGATTTGAGGAACGGACAATAGACAATACTCGTTGGGCAGTTTTTTTCACCTCACTCGGTTTTGCAGGTTGACGGCATTGTTTTTGCGCTTGGTCGCTTCGCGACGAATTTTAGACGCTTACTTTATTAGGGCTCGATGTGTTACGTCAGGCTGAGTTGTGAAACAATCCACCCAAGCAAAATATGAAGAGCCCGGGCGGCATAGGAATGTGTCCTTCCCTCCTTCCCACAAAGCGGGGTCCTTATGATGTGGCGTTTTGTTTGTTTCGCTGGTCTGATAGTGCCTTTTTTAGGTTTGATTGAAGGAATAGCAAGGGCAAACATACGAGGTTTCCTTTACCGAGGGTTTCTCCATGGGTCCTTTTCAAGACAGGTTTAGGGGGGTTGTCCCAAGGCAACCAATTTGCCGGGTCCCATTTCAACACCCAGACGCCAAGGGTCTGCATTGGACACCCCAGAAGGGTTTTGGGGTCTCAAAACCTGGCTGTTCGAAGGCCGAAAATCAATCGGGAGCCTCTGGGCACAAGAATTCAACACACCCTGCACATTTTTGGGGGGAGATCTCACCCTGACATTTGAACATGCTGATGTCCTGCCGTTCCACTATTCAGGTTGATGAAAAGTAATCAGTGCAGATCCCAGAGGGTTCCATTGGTACCTTATCCCCAGATTAATCAACCCCAGTGATTAATATCAAGGGGTGTTCCCCTCCAAAAGTGTTCTGGTTCCCCACTAAACCCAGGGACACCCCCCTGTCAATGGACTGGGTTGATCAAACTGGGGTCAACATCATTTGCGTTGTGTTGTTCCCCTTTTTTTTCTTTTTCGAAATCTACACTGGACAAATCTCTTTAAACCAAACCCGCAACCGTAGACATGGGGGGGTACTTACTTGGATCTCTGGGGATATTTGTTTACCCAGGCCCTGCTTCAAATTTTGCACCTTTGTGGGTGGTTTTCCGCAAGGCTTAAACATGGGGCGGCTATGTTATTTGGGAGCTCAAAACGGGGGCCCTTTTTCCTTGGTATTTGAAGGGACGCCCAATTTGAAGCCATCCATATGGGACTGATTCCGTTTCTTTTTGAGAAACACCCAACCAAACTTCTCGGGGAGATGTGGGTGGCTCGTTTTTTGAGGCTCGGTACTTCTGGGGGTTGGCAAGGGATACCAAGAGGACAACCGAAGCCTTTTTTGCGGGGGCCCTTTGTATCACTCTTGGGGTCGGTTTCAAGGGAGACCCAAAAACAACACGACCATGGGGGCCACTACTTTCCCAAAGGGTCCCTTGGTGCCTATTTGGGGATTCATTCGGAATCGGACGACGAATCCCTGGTTCACCACACAATCCGCAACTATGGAGTACCTACCCCCTTCTGCAAATACCAACTTGTTTCAATGTATTGTTTGAAACAAATCAGTTTACCATGATAAATACTTCCTCTTTCAGAGGGTTGACATGATATCAACTTAGACATACTGTGGGTGGACGAAATCCTGCACCGCTTTGAAACCATGGTTGAAGCCATCGCTTGTTGGGAATCACAGGGGAGTCGAACCATTCCAGGGTTTCTTAGGTGGCGCGAAATGGATTTCGAAACCATCCACAGTAGGCCGGGTATTGGGTGTTGACAGGCTAGGTCCCCCAGTAGTGCCCTTTCTCACCTTTTTTTTTTGGGAGGGTTCCCCTACTAAAATAGACGACAAAAAAAGTTGTACCCTTATTCTAACCTCTCTACTGGAGGACCTACTGTGGATGGACGAAATCCTGCACCACCTAAGGAAACCCTGGAATGATGATTCTCCTGTAAGCACCAAGAAACTTTATGGTTTTAACCATGGTATGAACGTGGTGCCAAATGGATTTCGTCCATCCACAGTAGGTCCTCCAGAGAGGTTAGAACAAGGGTACCCAAGTTGTGTTTTGTCGTCTATCTTAGTAGGGGACCCCTCCCCAAAAAAAACGAAACGGGGTGAGAAAGGGCTCTGGAAAACCCTAGGCTGTCAACCAGACCCGGCCTAGGGGCATCCTTGAACCTCCGGGTTGGACCTCCTTGGTTTGCCTGGGGAAGCCCATCGATTTTTCCCCTAAAAGGTTGGACCTCTTTGCAATTATTATTACCACTTATGTATTTGACAATTATTATTTCCACTTATGTATTTCACAACTCTTATTTCCACTATTTACTATTATGGTTATAACCTATTCCCATTGGACCATGGTTATTTCCACTCATTATTTCCACGCAGGTGCCTTCCCGATCGCCCCGTTGACTTCAACCTCTGGCGTTGGGACCGAAATGAAATTCGCAGGAGTTCCAGTGGCTGGTGCAGCTCAGTCCTTCTCTGCCGCGCCCGGGGCGGGTGGCGCCCGGTGGGCACGGGGCCCTAGGTGAGTTTCACGGCCCTACTTGGACCCCCTCAAACAAAGACCCACTCTGTTTTAGGGTATTCTTTGTGAAAAACCCGGGTTTTCCATGGTAAATACATACCTTGCGACGGCTCAGACAAACAAACAAGCAGGGATGCAGGGGAAGCAGGGATGTGGGCATATGTTTCATGTCATATTTAGACGTGGTTTTCTTTACAGAGAGTCCTCGCACATCAACGCTTCCACCGTATCCCCGCTAATTCGTTTTCCCAAATGGCTGTGAGTTTCACTGCCCTATCGGATGTTCGATTCGCCAGGATAGCAGGTGGTGATCGCCACTTGCGTTTTCCACCCCCTAATAACAAGGTTGACCGGGGACGTATAAGTGGGTGATGACCTAAGTCACCAACAGCTTACTAACTTGGCGAATCGAACTCTCAAGGTCCTGGGTTGCTTGGTATGTGCTCGGGGTCCCCGGTACACCCAACGAGTTGTTTTTTTTTGGTGTCAAAAAATTGACCTATGTTGAGGCCCCAATGGTTCAATCAGGACTCGGGCCTTTTTTATCTTCTTGTTTTTCTCGGTTTTCTGAGTCCAACAAATTGGGAAAGTCCAGTCGAAAAGTACGGGGGCTGATGGCTGTTGGGCGCAGGCGCTGCGCAGGCGCTACGCGCAAACGCATGAATTCTCGGGCTCTTGGAACTGGGTCATGGGTAGAAACGGACATCGCGCCCGTTTGGAAGTGGCAACCAGTGGCAACCAGTGGCACTTCTTTGGATTCCGCCCGTGTTGGTTTTTCCTCTTTGGGTATGGAATTCCCCGACCTCAACCAAAAAAGGATGCCGTTTGTTTCCCATGGCCACTGGGCATCTGAGTATGGTTGGAACACCCGACATGGATTTGGATTGGTGGTGAGAGTTGAACGGGTCCCTAGTTCTTGTAGAGGGTAAATGGGAAAACACCCCGTAATAAAACCAAGCCACTAATCCAAAACAGAAAATCGGGGACGGTGAAACGATGTATCTCTGATGTCTGCCAAAGGATCCCCAATTTAAATTCATACCTAAATTAATGGGTGTGCTTTCTTTTTGAGGCTCAGAATCGTTTTCGGTGTTGCGTCTTCACGGGAAAGCAAAGGGCAGACCGCCAATTTTGGCGGTTCCCCCATGTTAAGACATAGCCAGTTAGGGCGTATGTTTGGCTTCTCTTCAAAGCCATATACCTAGGACCTCCATTGTGTGTGTGTGTGTAAAAAAAGTTGGTTTTCGCAAATAACTGCTTTTTCACCCGTGCGAGCGCTTTTCAAATTTGCGAGCGTTTTCCTAATCATGGAATCTTAACTTCTGCAAATTCTGCACTCATGAGAGTTTCGTGAAAAAGCGGATTTTGCCGGTCAACAAGCGGATTTTGCCGGTCAAACAGCGGATTTTCCTGCCTTTGAATACGCTGCCCGCTCCAGGAAAACTATGGAAGGAAGCAAGGCTCCAAAAAGCACTTTTGAATCGAAACGGCGGATTTGAAATGAAACGATGGACATTTGTGCCTTTTCGTCAAACGGCAGACATTTTACACATCGGATGTTCTAGGTATATGTATATATAACCTTGTGGACACCCTTCTGGGGCTTTTTTTTTAAAGCTTGTTTCCATGTAGAGGCAAGTCCATTTGGGCATTTTCAAAAGTTCCATGGATAAGATTCGGACACCATTGGACACCCCAGAAGGGGTTTTGGGGTCTCAAAGCTGTTTGGGGGCCCACAAAAAATCGGGAGCGTCTGGGCAACTAAAAAAAATGGCCGGGAATTCGGAGCTTACGGAGGCAAGAGCTGGAGCTGCCAGGGGAACTTCCCAGCCAAAGCCTCAGATATCAAGACGTGAGCGCGTCGAGTCGTCCAGCGGTGGTGTACTTATCCTCTGCTAGGTCCCCCAGTAGTGCCCATTTAACCTTTTTTGGGGGAGGGGTCCCCTACTAAAATAGACTACAGAAAAAAGGGTGCCCTTATTCTAAGCTCTGTACTGGAGGACCTAGAAAGCGAAGGGACCTGGAAGCTTTTGGTTGGCATGTTTGGCCCAGTGGATCCATTTGCCTTAAAAGTGGGAACGACCCTTTTAACACCAAAAGGGAGGAATCAGCTACCTACTATATGGGCTTGCCTGGGATCCACCATGCCACCACTCTAGCAGGTAACCCTTTGGTATGGCTACCTCCAGGTTTTTACATCATGGGAACCCCTGGTTACCTACTGCAGTGGTAACTGGAAGCACTGGTTTCCCTTGCTCGGCCTTCCTGGATGTGGGTGAATGGCAGAAACAAAAAATGGGGTCGGTTTGTCCCTTCCCGGACCCCGAAGAAGCGATCCCTTGTTTTGTTTTTGACGGCCACCAAAGAAGGGGTAAATGCTGGACGAGGTTGACAAAGATTCTAGGGGAGAGGTGCCCCTTTGGCTTCCTTTGAATCCAACCAGAGAGAAGATGCCGTGACTCAAAACACCACACCATCATTTTCTAGGGCTTGATTCCGGTCCCGTTCTTTTCAACCATCCTTCTTTCCAAAAGCCGCATCCGTTTGCCTTTTTTTTGTCCGGAGGTTTTCTAGAAAGGATCCCTGGAAAGAATGGGGAAGGTACCCCTAGTTTTTCTGGTGTACCCCAGAGTGATCTGAGCAATGGTTGGTCATGATGCGCGAAATAGAGGGGGTCATGAGCAGCCATTTTTGCAGGGTCAGAAGGAGACTCCAGGTACTGTTGGCAAATGTTCGTAATTGTGATGCCCTTAAACAATGCCCACCTACTTTGGGCAAACAAGTTGCCTTGCTTGATACTGTCCACCAGATGTCCTCCATTTATATTGTTGGGGGCAACATCAGGGCGACCTCGCATAATGGGTTTGCGATTGCAAATACGAATGGTGAAGGTTCTTTTGATAGCCCATGTTTCCTCTCATTTTGGTTTGGTGAATGGTTCACAATCGCCTCATTCGGAGTAACATAAGACGTGTTCCGCGAAAATGACCGATCTGTCAAAAGGTAGGTCCTGAGCTCCTACTTTCATCTCTTCGGTTTCGTGGTTTCCATGTTCATTTGCAGGTACTTGTCGTTGAGGATTTTTTCGGACTTGTCCAGATGGCGTCTCTCTCTCCGAGTGATAGTGCACTGTTTCATTTGTTCCGCCTGGGGATCAGTTGATCAATTTGGGCCCTGGCCGCCCTCGTCAGGGAGCGCGACGAATCCTTCCAGCGCACTCGCGCAGATGAATGTGGAGTCATGTGCAACTGAACCCTGATTTGTAGAGGAATCTCCGTGTAACAGGACCTTTGTTTGGGCTGGCTCGGGACTGAAACGAATGGGGCTTAGTTGCCGAGAACCCAGTGATGGAGGGTACCCATGCTTTTGGATTGCCGCGACGCAGAAATCCGCTGGAGAGACTCAAAACGGGTGGTGCGGTCGTGTGCCGTGCGCCCTAATCGTCTGGATTTTGTTTGCCCTCGGACCTACATGGATCCTTCAGGCTCCTAAAATACAGAGCTCCCCCATGTGATTCCAAGGTACCCTTCTTCCAACTAACATGTCACCTGGCAGGGAGTCAAAGTAAAGATAAGTTAATCTTCCAAGTACCTTCCAGGTGCCATGTTGGGAAGGGTCACCAAGGGAACCAAGGAATCCTTTAGGTGTACAGTCAGTAAAAAGCTTCCGCGTCCGCAACTTGCTAGGCGACCCGAGTTTCGCGGAGCCTGAAGTGAGGCGGGGAACATCCGTCCGGTTCCGTAGGTGTGTGTTTAGGTTTGTAGGATTTAGTTGGGGGGGTCCATTTAACCCAACACTTCTAGGGGCCAGACAGGGGTCAGAGTATTTACATCTTCGCAATTGACTCTCACCTGTAGGATTTAGTGGGTTGTTCCATTTAACCCACAAGTCAAACTTTTAGCGGGGGATCTGAGGACTGCCCAGTTAAGGTGCCGGATAGGGGTCAGAGTATTTACATCACAATGTACTCTCACTTGCTTGGGTCCTTGACCGAGTCGCCCATAGCACATTCTTGTATACAATGTGGCTCAATGACGGACAACGACCATGCCATTTTATCCCAAAGTTGGCGAGTCATACCTGCGCATTAGCGCATGGCCCTGAACAAAAAACTACAAGTTTTGTTTAAGCAACCGGCATCTTCGCCTGGCAGATTAAGAATTGGAATTGAAGTACCTGGAGTCTCCATGACCCTTAAAAGCTAGGGTCATTATCCAAAACAATGGTCATTGACCCATGTTGCAAGGGTCATGGAGACCCAGGTATCAAGATGATAGGTGACGTGCGCAAAATGCTTTTGGCCTCGGGCGTTTTTTTGTTGACGCTGCATTGATGGCCTGGCAGCTTCCCAGCAACTCCCATGGCCTTTTTGCTCTTGTGGTCGGACAAACTGGTTGTATTATAGGACTCTACATATTTTGAGGTACTCAGCTTTTGGAAGCGAAACCAACAGGCAAACCCACAAGTTTCGGGGACCCCATAAAAGACGCTCTCATATTGGGGCCCTATATCATCGCCAAGCGATGCGAGCTGGATCAAGTCGGAACAATTCGCATGAGGGTCCCCAAAAAGGTGTTGCATTACACGAAGATGCAAGTCTTTGCATTGTGCCGGAATACAGGTCCTGAAACATCTTTGCAATTTCTCGGCACGGGTTTTGGTTGCTGTCCGGCAAGCCTTGATAAAGGTTCCTGTGATAGATGTTCCTTTGATTTGTCATTGGTGACTTGCGCTGTTTCACTTTGAGACCTGGCATGCCACCACTGACAACTCAGTTTGGCGCTTTCGTGTGTGGAGTCGATCCGGGCTGATTTCAATTTGGTTATTGGGCAAGCCCATCGGCACATGTTGGTCTACAATTGCGCTAGGGTCTTCAGAGAAGCACTCGGAAGCGATATCATCCTTGCCTTATTGTTCCCAGTGGATCTCAGTTGTGGGCAACAAACTATTTTCATTTTAGTTGAATATATCGTTCCGTTGGTCCCTTGGTTACCTACTATGCAGGTAACGTCCCCAGAATTAATAATTAGCTCCTTTTTTAGATGTTTTGCTTTTTCGGGGTCCCCTTTGTTTTCCACTTGCCCGGCAACAAATATGATTTTGCCGGGGTCCTAGTTCCAGCCAAGGTAAATGCATCCACTCGGAGCGGCACATAGATGTTCTGGGACGCTAGGTGGCTAGTGACCCTAGTTGCACCCCACCAAAGCCATGGTTGTAAGTCCCCTAAAACCAGGGTTGCTAACCATTTAGCGACCCAGACCATCTAAGTAGGGCACGGCAAAACCCATTTCTATGGAGGGCATAGCAAAGCCCTTTGTTATGGGTTCTAGCCCTCAATGTATGGGTTGAACCCCCTGTTTTTATGGGTTTTGAGGGTCCAGGTACATGGATCCACGAAGACTAGGTCCCCCAGTAGTGCCATTTGTTCCTCCTTTTTTTTTGTTGGGAGGGTTCCTTTGCTAAAATAGACGTCCAGAAAAAACATGGGCCTTTTTTTAACCTCTCTACTGGAGGATCCACGTAGAACCCCCCAGGAAAACGCCGCGCACTCCATCCGCCTCAGCATAGGAGTCCTTTTTGGTTGTTTTGGTAGAGAAATAGGTGGCCCTGGTTTACCTGGTGGTTTAATCATCTACCAGGGCCATCTATTTCCCCTAAAAGGACACCTATGCGCCTCAGGACACCACGGAACCGGTCGCAGCCCTTGCGGCGCCAGGCAAGCACGCGGGATTTTTTTTTGGCCGCGGGGTTCGGCCAAGGGTCACAGCCCCTCCAAACAATGTTCACCCCGGATTAATAAACCCCTGGTTGATTAATGGGGGGGTCCCTTTTAGTGGGGATTCAGACCACGTTTGTTTTTTTGGAGAAGCCTAGTTTTCCATGGTGAACACCTCCCTTTTTAGTAGAGGGTCGACAGGATACAGCAAAAAAGCAGGTATTTGGAGCAGGGGACCTATTTTTGGTGATGGTTTTGCGAAGGTGTGTTAAGCTTCACTAAGTATGGGCCATCTAAACATCCTGGGCTCAAAAGGCTAGGTTTAGGAGCACATCACCCCTCAGCGCTGCTAATTTATCTTCCCCAAATTTGGCTTCAAGAAGGTGCTCCAACCCCCCACGCAGCCACTCGCTCCACTAGGTGTTGTCTCGGAAGATGTTGTGAAAGAAGGTGACAGTCCCAGTGCCAGGCTCCTGGCGGTTGGCCACTTTTCGGGAACCAAGGGAAGCCCTCATGGAAGACCTAAAAGTACCTGGAGTCTCCTTCTGACCCTTTAAAAATGGGTCAATGACCCCATTATTTTAGGTAATTAGTGACCAACCATTTTTTAAGGGTCATGGAGACTCTAGGTATGCAAGCCTTTTTGCCTACTATGATGACTCGAAGCACTGAGACGCTTGCTGGGCTCAACTGATAATCTCCATTCTCGTTTTGGGCCTCGTCCGACAGAGTTGCTGTTACGCCTAGCCCCCAAATGTAAAAGGTTCTCACCCTGCTGCCAAGTTTTGAAGAACCTTTCGAGGGAGGATAGACTTTGTTTTTGTCTTTTACGGCGTTTTTAATTGGATGGCCTTTGTTTCTGTTTGTTTCCTTACTTGTTTTTCTATTCGCTTGTCTTTGCCTACCAATTTTTGACCGCAACCACGCCAAGGGTTGTGAAGTCCACATAGAGAGGTCTGCTCCAGAACAGTTTCGGCGCAACGGGGAGTCGGGAGGCTGGATCCAGGGTCGAGGATTTGCGCACTTCAAGACCGACAGAACCCACCCAAAGGTTCGGCCGTTTTCCCTTATGTTCCTTTGGTAGGTGTATCTTCCAGCTCGCTTCCCCGTGAACCTGTACCCGGGAGAACAGTTGCAGTAAGGACCCAGGGGAAACCATCATGTAAAGCTTAGAGAAACCCTGGTTTCCTACTATAGTGGTACCTCGAAGCACTGAGTTAGGTATGTACAAAGGGATGTTTTGGCAAGTGGTGAGTTGATAGACCCCCTTCCCCAACTCTTTCCTTTTTTTTGGAAGATCCGCTAGGAGGCCGGGGACGACGAGGCGCTCTATGACCGACTTTGGCAAGAGGCGCCGTGTTGCGCCTGTTCGTTGCCACGGGTCGCTTGGGAGGGTGAGGTGCCAACAGGGCTCTTTTTTGGAGGCAAAGGGTACCCTTTTTGGATGCGTTTAAAGGGAGAGCAAAAGGAAACCATCCATTTTGGGGGTTGCTCTATTTGTGCCAGTGAGTGGGCGTTTGGTGTGGAGGGTGGCCGTTTGAGCTTAGTTCAACGGGAAGCCAAAAGGACAATATGCAAATTAGGGCCCCCTTGGACACATACAACACCCACATTTGCACAATATGCCTTCGCTTGTAACATGCAACCAACTGGGATGCCATTGCCATGTTGCACCAGTGGCAGAAACGTTACACGCAGACATCGCTATTTTCCAGCAGGACATATATTTTCTTGCGGCATGGCTTTGGTGTCAACATGTGAACATTCGAGACGTCATACATTTGCCGGCTTCTTGTTCGTTGGTGGGTTGCATTCACGGACTTCTATGTCACACGTGTGACCCTTAAAGAAGTGAAGATGCAGTAGGTGTTTCCTGCCATAGGGGTCGAATGTGGTCACTTTGGCATATTGAACTCAAGCACTGGTCTAGTTTGGTTGGAGCTTGCCTTGCCGCTCCCAGTGCTTCCAGTTACCACTACAATAGGTAGCCAGTTCTTTTCAATAACCGGATCTGTTTCCCCTGGGTTTTTGATGGTTGCCTGAAAAGATTCGGATCCCTGGGTTAAGAATGGAAATGGAAGGTACCCCCGGAGTTTTACATTCATTTTCCTTGGTTATCTACTATAGTGACTCGCCTGGAAGCCATTTAATCCCTTCCCCCTATTAATAAAGGGCTCCCTAAGAATAAATAATTGTTTCCAAATCCGGGAATACTACTTTTAGAATAGCCAATACTAAACCAATTCTATAGTTGTTGTCTTGCCCGTACTCAAATGCAGCCCGATTTGTGGGTAAGCTGACCCAATGCTTCCAGTTGTCGTTATAGTAGGTAACATTATGTAAAACCTAAACACCCCCAACCCCCCAACCAACCCCCCAACCAACCCCCCAACCAACCCCCCAACCAACCCCCCAACCAACCCCAGAACCAGAGGTAGCCATACCTGGTTATCTACTATAGTAACTTGCCTGGAAGCACTGGCTGAGGTAAGGCGACCTGAGCTTGCCATCAAACTTGTGTGTTGGGTTCGCCATCGCCAGGCTCAGGAGTTCCACAAGAAGAAGCAGGAGACCGTCTCGGGGCGGCCACGCGGGCCATGTTGGAGAAAACAAAGGAGTGAGTGTCTTCTGAACAGACATGTCAGTAACCAACTTAGCGCGGCTACCATCCTGTCTCTCTGAATTCCAGATTTCTGAAGGGCACCCCTTGCAGGTTGGCTAAAAGGGGAGAAACAAGGATCCATGTCCAGATTGGTCTGGTCAAAAGCGTCACCTTCACCAGCTGGGGCTTTAAGTTCGCCCCTTGGGTCGGCTTTTCGGCGCTGACAAAAATACATAGAATTGGCCTGAAAATCTTGGTACCTCAAAGTGAGCCTTCTTGAGGTCTCAAACCTGCTAATGGAGGTCTTGACCTCCCGAATGGAGGATCCAATGATGCTTGGAGCTGGCAAACAAATCAAGGACTGCACCCACTGCATGGCCTGCGCTCCAGCCTTTCCCGGGCGTACCATTATTTCAGGTCTGGTTGAAGCATGGAGACCGCGGATATTAAACATAGGACGGTTTCTACTTAGATCTGGGGTCGACATTACTCAGATTCATTCAATTCCAGTACATGGTCTAGTTGGAATCCAACAAAGTTGCTTTCCCATGACTCCTCGGAGTGTCGTGATCTCTTCTTTTTTGGCTCCGCGGCCCCGACACATAGCCACAGACTCGTTGGAGCTCTGGACATCTCGAATGTTGATTTAGACGGTACGGGATGCAGAAGTTTTTGCCTGAGGTGCCCCCTTACGCATTTCTCCATTCGCCGCCTAGCAGATAATTCGAGCCGTTTCTAAGCCCCCCTGGTTCCCTTGAGGTTCCATTGGCGTACCGTCAACTCCCAGGGGCAGCTTTTGCGCCAAGGTGTTGTTGTTCTACCACCCTCAAACCACCTATAAAAAATGATGATATTCCACAGAACAATGGGAGTGGTTCCCCTTTTTAAGGGTAGTTTGAGGTTTCAGGGAGGTAAAACATGCCGAAGGGTTAGCTACTTTTTCCAGCAAACCCAACGCTTGGAAGCGCTGCAATACACTCACCCCAAGAGTCTTAGGGGCCTAGCATGCAGAACCCGGCACCCGGTCCCCGCAACGACACCCATAGCTGAAATTGGGTCTCCGAAGCACCTATTTCGGGGCCGCATATGGGTGGGTCAAAATTAAACCACCTTGGGACCCAGGTTTTAATCCTGGGTCCGGGTTCCATTTTGGGTACCCATTTTTGACCCACAGCCATATTGCCATCAGTCTCAAAAAGAAAGCACCTATTTGGGCGTCCCGCATATTTCCAGTTACCCAGTGGTGCCCGCTTTTTCCTGTCTTTTTGGGAAGGGTTCTCCTTTAAAGTCAACCCACCAAAAAAGGATACCGATTCTTTTTTTCCCATGGCCACTGGGCATCTGGGGCAGTGGCTCTTCACGAGAATCGATCCGCTCTGTCAGGAGAAGCATGCAAAGGAAGGCCTCTACCGGCATCCCAGGGATATGACGCCTACCAGCAACCCTCGCTGCGGGAACCAGGCAAGCCGCCGGTCGAAGACAGTGGGGGTGCGCTCACCCGAACAGGCTTCCGAAAGTCCGAAGTGAGCGTGAGACTCCAGATACATACTGTGCCAGACTCACCCTAGCCCTCCGGTTTTCCCTTTTCGCCCTTTGGATTTCAAACTCCTTTCCTTTTGAAGCAGCATGATTGCTTCTTGCACGGGGTCTCAGCCTGGCCAAAATGATATTGCAAGTAGATAATCAGGAAGACCCTTTCGGCGTTCTGCTGAAAATCCAGTGTGAAAAACAGACTTGACTTCACAGGGGTGTCTCACTCAAGAGGGAATCACTCACCTTTTTGGGACACTCAAGTCCAAATCTGCAAGGTGTTTGAAGCCCGGAGGGAGAGGGTTGGGCATTCAACCTTGAGCGGTGGATTTCCTCGCAAGTAGAGAGCCAAGCCAAACAGTTTACTGGTTGACATAAGGGCCTAAATCATCAGATTCGGGTTGTGGGTACTCTAAAGCCAAGTTTACCCAGTGCTTCCAGTTACTACTATAGTATGGCAACCCGGCTTCCTTACCTGCAGGATTACGTTTCCCCTGGCTACCCAGGATAGAAGGACTGATGTAGTCATGATACTCATCTTAAGTTGAGCGCCTCCCGTGTTTTCAGCTGGTCCAGGTAAGATGCTGTGCTAGTTTGGCTGACGAATGAGTTGGCGGCACTTCAACTTGGATGGCCATAGTGACGTCGCATTCCTGGGCAGGTCGCGCAATGTCAAGGTTCCTTCTCGAAGGTCCCTCCCTCCCACGAAAAATACGGTGGCTGCGAAATTCAGAAATCGCGTCACCTAAGAAACCTTGAAATGATGAGAATTCCCCTGTAAATACCAACAAACCTTGTAGTTTTTGCCTGGTTTCAAAGTTGCGCGGGATTTTGTCCATCCACAGTAGCACTTGCGGGAGGTTATTTGGAAGATCTTTCTTCTGTTGGCGGGCCCCCCCGGTCAGGTGCCATGGCAACGTGGGAGGGAGGGTAATTCGGCTGGTGAATTGCGTACTCGGTTTTTCGCCTGGAACGCGGGGCTTTGTCAGCGCGCCGGCTTCCGGAAGACCTTTGATTGTTTTTGCACGGGCCGTGAAATCGTCGACCCGCCCCCAAAACCACCATCCAGAACGACTTTCCAGCTGTACGAACCTGGCCCCAAGGGTATCCCCCAGCCATCCGCCTGCCTAATTCATCCTTAATCATTACTTACCCGTCAACTTTTTGGGTAGCATGGGCTATATGTCTGTACAAGATTAACTTCCCCAGGGCTTGGAGTTTTAAGGGGTAATATTATAATTCCTATTGACATTGATGGAACCATGGCCGTGCGCCCAAGAGGAGTTTTAATCCTGGCACGCATGAAATCAACCCTTTGTGGGGTGGCCCCTTGTTCCACCGTTCTGGGCGCTGTTTCACCTGTACACTGTAAACGAAAGGAAAACACAAGCACCGGTTGCAACTCGGTTTTTGGCTGTGTGTGTGTGTTCGGTACCTTGTCCCCTTGGTTTAAAGAGAAACCAACAGACAAACCATAAAAACAGGGTTCTACGTTTGTCTGACTATTGTCTGTTGGTTTCCTATTGGTTTCTCTGTTGGTTGTCTGACTACTTCTACATTTGTCCCCTTGGTTCTCCTATTTTGACACCCCATATTGAACTACGTGGTGTCCCTTCGTTTGGTCCCCTGACTTGAACCCCACTGGACGTTCCACCTAACCCAGGCTCTTTTTTTCCAGTTCAGGTGGACCCCCCATCTTCGCCGCCTGTGTCGTTTTCCCGCGAGCTCCGGGTTTTCACGAACGAAGACACGTCAGGTACCCCTGAATTGGTGGTTTGAAGTGGTGGCTTGGGCATTTGAACCCAGCTTTTGCACCGAAACGGGGTTTCGGTAGCCCCTCAGGTCCAAACCAACGGTCACCAAACCACCAATTGGGGGAAGGTGAATGAAGTCCTTTGTTCAGGTGTTGAACTTGGGTACGGGAATTCGACCGGAATTTTAATCCATGTGTCCAGAGGAGGGCAATCCATTTTGGGGTTACCCGATGTTTGACCCACAGCCACACAGAGTTTCCAGATTCTCAACCATTTCGCGAAACCGGAACACCACCAGCTGCCATTTTTGCGTGAAGCAGGTTTCTCGAAATGCTGTTGTTGTTTGAGCCTACCAGTTTTTTGGTGGTGATTAAAATAGGACAACTGCCAGGAAAACCGCTGCGCCATGTTGGGGGTCCTTTAAAGCAAGACGAGCCACCCATGTGGAGATCGTCTAAACGGTCCAAGCGAGAAGGAGATGTTGAGAAACTTTCAAGGAATATTTCCGGGTGGATCCCCTTTAAACCCGTAGAATAGGTATCCAGCTATTGTCCTTTTGGTTTTTAAGGTGTGGTTCCAGATTCCAAAATCCAAAAGTGGATTGGGGGAGGGGGGATTTTGGTGCATGGGTTTTCCATTTTCCCTTTTTATGGGGAAGACTAGAAAGATGGCTGATATGGGTACCTAAAGCCCCACCCCCAGGCAGGGTGGACGTGTGTTCCCCGCTGGAGGCCCACTGCGAAAAGCTCTACAAAGATAGCAAGAGCAAGATGCAGAAGCAGGACCCTCGCTCGCACGCCGCCGGGGTCCCACCTGGGGTGTTGTTGTTCTACCGAACTGCCCTCAAAGTACCAATAAAAATGTGGATATTCCACAAAACGATGGGAGTTGTTCCCCTTTTTAAGGGTAGTTTGAGGGTCTTGCGGCCAATGCAACACCTTGAAAGCGCTGCACTACGCTCACCCCAAGAGTCTTAGGGGCCTAGCTTGCAGAACTCGGGACCGGGTCCCCATAACGACACCCATAGCTGAAATGGGGTCTCCGAAGGACCTATTTTGGGGCCATGGGTGTGGGTCAAAAATAAACCAGGAATCGGACCGCAGGAGCTTTAGTCAACTTGGTTCCATTTTCCAGGGCAAGCCATTTTGGGGTTACCCATTTTTTGACCCACAGCCACATCGCATCCCATGGCACGCCGCCTGGGGCACCGCCTGGACCGATTCCCAATGGATGGATTCCGCTTTTTTCTGCCGCTGGTTGCGCGGGTTCAAAGGTTCAAAGGCAGAAACAAGGGGTCCTTTGGGGTCCTGGCAGTTCGGCGTGTCTCTTTTTTTTTGAAGGACCCCCGCAAAATGGCTGCGACACGTGTTCAACTGTTGGTTTCCTTTGCAACCATTACAACACGTGTTACCTATAGACATATACACTCACACCCGTATGGGGGATGTTCTTTCTGTTTTGAACACCCAAATTTATTGCAGGGAACCAACCTTGGTTTTGGGAATGAGTCATCCCCCTTGGAAACATCTACTGTGAAGTGCCTCAACGCCGCTCATTGACGAAGCAAAATTCATCATTGAGCTGAGTCGAGCACATGTGCTCGAAGCGAGTGGAGGTACGGTATTGTCCGACACTTTGGTTTCCCGTTTGTGGTCCATGTTTAGTCATGGCAACAAAGGTGAACCTTCTATGTGCTTAGGTTATCCTTATTTGGTGGTTTGGTTTGGTGGTTTGGTGTAGAGGGTAGATGGGAAACCCCTCCTTAACCACCAACCCTGCGGGCTCCAAAAATTCGAGGGAAGCTGATTGATGGGGTCCTTTGGGCAGGGCTAGAACCCCGCGGGGTTTTAAGGGAAGATCAGAAGGCAGTCTGAGCAAAGCTTGCAGAGCCCTAGACTCAGGTGCCCTTAAGGGCAGCGTGAGGATGCAACAATAGGCGACCCCCCGCCCCTCAAAAAAATAATAAATAGCTGGTGTTCCTTTTGGTGTCCCTCGAGCCAAGCGAAATTGGCTGCCCTCAAACAAAGCACACCATGTTGATGTTGGCCTCTGACATGTTAAAAAAGTATCAAGGGACTTGTTGGGCTTGACCCTTATAGATTTTGGCTAGACTCTGTTCAAGGTCTCTTTTAACTGGTTTTGGTTTGTTGAACTTCACATGTGGGCTAGAAGCAACCATGCCATTGTTGGTCACGAGGCATCAAATGAGCTGAAGGCAGAATCTGCGACAGAGCCGAAATCTCTTTATTCACGGCAAACCAAGCAAGGATGTGTTATAAACCTCTTTGTGTGACAAATAAATCGTATAACTTGGAACCCACAAGGAAATGGCCATCTTTTCAGACCCCTTATTCAATGCACCCAGCCTTTTGGCTCAACGACTCATCGCCAAGCTAGGAGCGTGTGGAGGCTGAAGAGCGGAAGTACTATTATGACCTCTGCCGGAAGCGCCACAAGAACCCCGGCAATGAACCGCAGAGCTGCGGAGGAATGAGTGTACCCTTCTTTGGGTTGTTTTAAACGACACACCAAAGGAACAACAGCACTTGTGTTTGGGGACTTTCCATTTGCCGGACTCAACGAACCTTTTTAGTTGTTTGTTGTCCGTTTGGGTTTCCTTCTTTTCCTTTCAACCAACCAACAGTTCACTTTTTGGGAGGGGGGATTCAGCTTGTTGGATGATACTATTGATTGCTGAATAATATGTTTTATGTTCCCCTGCTTTTCAAGGGAATCTATCACTTCCGGTCATATTTTTCCAGGGGGCTTGAGCAAATGGAAGGAACCCGCCTGTGAACAAATAGGAGGTCCTCTCCTCACTTCCTGAGGGGTCGGTCGATTTTCGCGGGCACAATATGGGTGCGGCTCAGCAAAATAAAGAGGGTTCCGAAGGTTTTAGTCTTTGGTTCCATTTACCCAGGTGCCACGCGTCCATCACTTGAAGACAAACCAAAGCGGGGCCAAGGCCCTTTTCACATCCCAGCTGTCTGGACATTCTCCTAGCGAAGATCATTTGGGTGCGATAACCATGATTAGTGGATCCTAGTCAGCAGGTGACATCAGGTGACCAGCTATTCTCCTTTTGCTTTTTAAAGGGTGTTTTGCTTGGTTACCCACAAAACCAGGTAAATGGATCCGCTGACACCGGATTGGGTCATTTTTTCTTGTGTGCGGCATCCACTTACCGAGAGCAGGTGGTGAAACCGATCAGCAACTTTCAGGGGCAGCCTTCCGGCAGAGAAAGAGCGCCCGCTCAAATATGAAGTGCTCCCTTAGAGCTAAAGCCCGGTTTCTCCGAGGAATCGGCTGAGGGGTTTCCGGTTGTTGCCCCTGGGGGGTCGATGCACCACTTTGAGGACGACTCTAGGGGATGAATCAGGACCAAAGGGTCACTACAGTTCCCTCAGCTTTGAACATCATCTTTTGGGTCTTTTGGCCCACCTGAGGTGAGGTCCCTGAGGGCTGATGGTTTAAGGGGACAAACTTAGGGAACCCTGCCCCAGGCAGGTTGTGGAACTGCCTGATAACGCGCCGTATCCGCAAGGGGGGGAGGGGGCTGAGCAACTTGGTGCTTGCTCTTTGGCGTAACCAACGTTCAAACTTCTATTTAGACAACATACGCTTTGCGGGGGGAACTAGCAAAAAGGTTTGTTTCTGCTCAGGATCAGTTTGACCGACCAGAGTTGTGGGAATTAGAGTCTTGGGCAAGCTCAGAGACAACGATTGGGTGAAACTAATGGGCAGATCAGCGGTATTAATTTTGACAAACGCTTTTCACGCAGCGCACGTGTTGGCCATGGAATGTCAAAATATAATCTGAGGACTATTATTCCACACCAATCATTTGTTTTGCTTAAGAATATGTGTTTTCATTTCCCTTGTTGGTTTTAAAGGGAAACTGTCACTACTGGACATGTTCTTTAAACTTTTCCCAGGGGGCATCAGCCAAGCTCCAATCAGACCAACGTAGCTGGGCTTATCGGATTTCCCGCCTTCCACCCAAGGAGGACGACCCGTGACGAGGAGTCGCTTTCGCGGATGCAATTTGATCGCTGCCAACTAGACCCGCAATGACATGAGGGCAGTAGTTGGCACAATTTATGGCGAACTCACCTAGAAGTAGAACGAGCGCACCATGATAAAGGTCCTGTACTTGGGGATTCCTTAATTCGGCTTCTAGAATTATAGCAAAATGTGTAGATTGGTGACTTGTTGCATGGGCAGGTCTCAAAAAGCCGTTGAGAAACCACTAGCAGTCCTTCGTTTTAGAGCCTGTTTTCTTTTCAGAAGAAACCCTCCTTCAGTGTCACTTCACAAAGGGCCCTTGGGTAGGAATTGGGGTGTCACTGTCTTTTCAGTGTCCTTCAGAATTGTCAGAGCCAGACTGGGTAGGAAGTAATGGGAACCTCCCATCAAGCAACCCCAGGTTGGTTATTGGGGTGCGTGTGTGTCCTAATTTTAGAGGGAATCCTTCACTTTTGTGGAAAGCGTTGCCCCGTACACAAGGTTGACTCTTTCGGTTTCCTTTAAAACCACCCAAACGGGGTGTGCCCTCAACAAGAGACAGACCCAGTTGGAGGTTTGTCGTAAAAATAGGGAGGGGGCCCTTTTCGGCATAGCATCTAGCCTGAAAAAGGGTCACTTTTGGCTCATTTGCAGCTTTGGGACTTTATTCTCCCTTCTCCCCTTCTTAGTGTCACTTAGCAACCATCATGTTTAGAGAACCCCCTACCTTCTCCCAATTCCATTTCCCTACAAAATGGACAAATAGTCGGAATTCCAGGGGGTCACCCCCCTCCTCTTTAAGGGAATGAGCATCTGTAGAGGAACCCCTTTTTGAGGACCCGCTCTCCCCCGCATGTTTGGGTTTCTCCCGTTCAACAGGGAAACAATTATCCCGTGAACTGGCACGAATCACAGGGAGCCACGTCCCATTTCAGGTGCCTCTGAGATGTTTCAACTTGCTTATGGCTGCAAAAACAACCTGCGTCATCATATATAGTTACAACGCGGGTCTCCGATGTTTGCAAGAATTCGGGCGGCCTCCCCATGGGCCACTTAATCGACAACCTTGTGTCGTCCCAAGATGGACCCACCATGCAAGAAAAGGCGGGTGTCTTTCCCAAAACAAGATCGGACCCGTTCTTGGATGGCTTGCACCCCAACTATAAATCCACCAAGAGTGAATTTCAACACTTCCCAGCACCAGTGTTGTCTGCTTTTGTTTTCGCTTGAAAAGCCGCCACTCGTGCTCATAATGAGCTTTTCAGTCGAGAGTTCTCGTCGAGAAACCCTGTCGCGGTTGGCGAACCTTAACCCGAGTAGTTTGTTGTTTGTTTCTCACATACGTCCTTTCTTGTGACTTTGATCATCGCGTGTTTGGTGTTGTCATTTTTGTTTCTTCAAAGGGTCTCAAAAGACACCTCAGCTTTTTGTTGGAATCTGTGGGATTTTCGCTTTCATCACCCAGACGCTCCCGGGGCTTCCAGTGGAAGACCCAGACCCTCCATTGGACACTTTAAAGGGGTTTTGGGGTCTCAAAACCTGGCTGTTTGAGGGCCCAAAATACATCGGGGGTGTCTGGGTCGTACACACCTCCTTCTTCGGTAGGAGGTTCACATGATAGTCAACTACCAAAAAGGCCGGGTATTTATTGGGTGCGGGGTATGTTGCCTTTGACTGTGAATGAAGAGTAGTGCCCTCCAGACAGAAAGCTGGATGGGGTACTCACTGAAGGACGGTGAACGATTTGAACTCGGAATCAGCTGTCAGGAGGTGTGGGCAAGGCTCGTGCAGACCAAGCCAAGAGAGGAGAAGGAAGAGGAAAAAGGCGCGGGCGTGGGGGGCGGGGGATTTTCTGAGGGTTGGGAGGTTGAGTTGGGGGTCTGGGGGTGTGGGGCTTTGGGTTGGGAGCTTTGGGTGGCTTTGTGGAGTTGGGAGGTTGGGGGTGAGGTTTTGGGGGTTGAGTTTGGAGGGGGTGTGCATGTTTGTCCCCTTTTCAACCTTGGGCAAATCAAGGGACCTCCCAAAAGTTGACTTGGGTGTTCAACCAACTTACTACGTAGGTTATAACTCCGGCTGCCAGGGTTCATGAAGGCTACCTTCAGGTTACTTCTAGTTGGTGGTTTGGATCGATGGTTTGAAGAGTGAATCCCTGGCCTTCGTAGAGGGGCAAATGGGAAACCACCCCCAAGCTTCACCAATCTAAACCACCAATTAGAGGGAAGCTGCCACTTTTGGAGTTCCCCCCTCCAGGTTGGAAGTTGATCTTCTTCGCTTAAGATGTGTTGTCTTTCCCTAAAGAGAATTGATCACAACTGGAAGTATGCCCATTTCTTCCAGGGGACGTATTCGCAAATGGAGCTGCTGATCTGCCGTTTAGGGGGACAGGCCGGCTTGCCTTGACTCGGCTGATTGCCAGCTTTGGAGGATTCTCTACTTAAGCGTGTGTGCTTTTGTGTGGGACCCTTGGTTAAAAGAACAACTGAAAGGAAACCATCCACTTTGAAGAAACCTGTTTTTGTTGACACATCAGTTGGTTTCCACTTGGCACAGGGACTGGCTTTGGTGAGGATAAAGTAATGACCTTTTTTGCATTTGCACCCAAAAGCAAGCCTGTAGACCAATGGACATTAGACACGTTGGTTTGGCAAATCATTCGCATCAGCGCTACCTGAAGGAGAGTGCATCATTTGCAGAATGTGATTTTCCAGTTTTCCTGGTTTGGCTTTCAAGGGACATGATCTTGACTGGTAGAACATTGCATTTGGGAATATTACAAGGATCTGACTTACCCAGGTTTTGCGAGCACCCATGATGCAGGGTCCGTTCATGGTTCCCCCTTTTTTGAGTCGGCAAATGTCACAACTTCACCATCATGTGTGTGTGTGTGTCTCAACCCCAAAAGCAAGCTGAGTGCTGAACAGCCATCAGGTTTCATTGTGCTTCAGGAAATCCCAATGGACAAGTTGTTTTTCCCCATTCTAGTGTCATACTCTCATCATCATCAGGAAGCCATAAAAATCGACATGCTGTTTTTCCCCAATCTATTGTCATACTCTCAGGAAGCCAACATCAAAAATCGGAAAAGCAGCCCCTTCCACCTGAAAGTATGATAAGAAAATATTTGACAATATTCCACTAAAGAAACCCAAATCAAGAATAGGTTGTTCCCCCAGATTTTCCAGACCCATGTAAGCCAGCTTTAGGTCTCAGAGGCCGGTTCGGGGACCAATGAAACGGCTAGGCGATTCCCAGACCGAGCTGCCGGAGGGGACCAAGACCAAGGTAGAGTCCTCAGAATTTTCCAGGATTCCAAGGGCACATATTCAAATTTGGAGGTTTCTCAATTTGGAGTTGGTGCCCGTGTTTGGTGGTAATTTTTCTTTGAGGGTGAGCCTTTTTTTGTGGTTTCAAAAGAAAAACAACCACTCGGAACACCACAAATTTGGGCGCGTCTTGTTTGGAGCTGGTACCCCCTTCTTTGGTGGTTTTAACGGAAAACAAAGAGAGGCAACCCACAAATTCGGGTTTTCGCCTGAAAAGCACATTTCCGAATTGGATTCAGTGATTCCGTTTGTTTTGCCTTTTTGAGGTCCAAACCCTCCCAACAGAATGTGTCTTTTTTGCTTTTCTTGGGGGGATACTCCCTTGTAGTTGGTTTCAAACGGGGGTCGCAGTCCCGGCGTCTCCTGATCAACCGGGCCATGGGGGTCCCAAAGGTCCATCGGACGGTCAGCCAAAGGGCGGCGTCTTTTCTGGAGCACAAACGGTTTCTTTCCTGGTCCCATGCCTAGTAGGGTCGTTTCTCAGGGAAACCAGCAGGGATACAGGGGAACCAGGGAGGATTCCCCCTAAATGCACCTTGACGAAGTTTGATTCTGGGAAATGGCGCCAAGTTGGAATCCCCCCATCTCGGGACCCGCTTTTTTCTGGGAATCCCCGCTGGTTGGTTTCTCCATTCGTGAGAAAGTCACGTCGAATCGACCGGGGATCCAACTGTTTGGGCCTCCGATCGATTTGTGAAATTCGCCTTGAGAACCGGGGTGGCGCCTTGTGTTTGGCTGCTGCCTTTTGGCTGCCTTTCGCCTTTTGGCTGCCCTTTTGGTGTTTGTCGCCTTTTGGTGTCGCCTTATCCGAATTGTATATCCCACTAATATAAATCAGATGGACATCCAGCATTTTTCGGACTAATCTGTAGAGTCATTGACCCCCCTGAGGCCGAAAGCAGCAGCACGTGTTTTTGCGGGGAATCCCCAGACACGTGGCCGCTTGGGGGTCTTTGGGATCTCCAAACTCATTTTACATTTCGGGGTTAACTAGATAAGACACTGAATTCTGACCACATTTTTCCACGAGCCCCTTTTTTGTGGGCCAAGTTGCTTAACAAAATCGCACCATTCAACCGTTCCCACCGACACACGTTCTCTTACTCGAAGCTACTTGGTAGTAGATTATAGGCATGGTTATCCGGGGACTAACCCCGGTTCCCAACCACTTTTTACCATAGTTATAACTTGCACAGAGTCAGCACTTGGGTGTTCAGCTAAATTACTAACAAGGTTATGACTCACTCGGTGGCTCCCAGCCATCCCCTTGGCTTTTCGCTTTTTAGGGTTTAGTGGTTGGGTGTCCATTTCAGTGGCAGAAAATCTGAGGACAGCCCAGCTAAATCCTACTTAAGGTGGGTGAACACCTTCCATTTGCTTAAGAATCTGTTCTATTTTCCCCTGGTTTTAGGGAACCTATCACTACTGGGCATATTTTTATTTTGTGCAGGGGGCTTAAGCAAATGGAAGACACCCAACGCCCTTTCCTCGGCCCAACGCCTCAGACACCGAGGCCGAGAAGGCGGCGGAGCGCCTGTGGGCCAAGGCAGTCAAGACGCAGCGCGAGAAGAAGGCGCCATTCGCAGCGCCGTCCGCGCGTTCGCTCGGCAAGGGCCTTGGAGAGTCCCTCGGTGCCAAGGAAACCCGAGCGAAACGGGAAGGGAGCTCACTTTCTGAGTTCTTCCGGACTTTAGTCACTCTTTTTGGGGATTGGACCATTTTGGTTGTATATGAGAAGTTTTGACTTTGGGTCAATCTGACTCAAGTGAGGGACATCAGCACGAGGGTTTGACATGGGTCCATGTTGGTAATCCTCAAAGATGACCCGAGCGAAATAAATCCCAGTGCTTCCAGGCAAGCCCATATAGTAGGTAATAAAGGGAAGTCATCCATGGTAAAGCCTACAGGTAAACATATGGCGGCTCAAAAGTAGACAGGAGGGGCAAACCGCAGGTTTTCGTCCATGTTTCCACTTACCAGGGCAACCCATTTTGGGTACCGGTTTTTTGAGCCACAGCCATATCGAAGGGTTGCCTATAGCGGCGAAACGACTGGAAGCACTGGGAGCGGTGGTAAGGGAATCCGCCACCCAAAAGTGGACACACACGGAGCACCTTTTTGTCGGCAGCTTCGATGAGCGCAGAGCGTTTTCGGTGCTTATCACCCGCTTGGGTTTTCGGGTCCCGATGGGTTTGGGCATTTGAGCCAAGACTTCCATTTGTTTAAGAATATGTTTGTTATTTTCCCCTGTTGGTTTTAAAAGGAATCGACCACTACTGGAAATATTTGGATTTTTCCCAGGGGGCTTAAGCAAATGGAAGAAGAGTGGCTGGCAGCTAGACAAGTCCAACTTGTTGTGTGCGGCATTGTTCGTGATTCCCAGTGCTTCTTGGCAGGCCACTATAGTATATAGGCCATCAGGGGACACCATCCAGGAAAAAAGCCAAGAAATCCCGGTTACCTGCTGAAGGTGTAACTGGAAGCGCTGGGATTGCGTCAAGTTGCTTTCAAGATTCTTGCAAAGCATTGCGGGAATGCTGGGAAGACTGAGTTCAAAAGGTGGTCGAGCTAGTTTTGAATTGATATTTCCCGACTACTCACACAAGTGCCTCGAGCTCAAGCGCCTCACTAAACGACCCATTGCGGCCGCACCGAACGAGCAGACTTGATGAGCACCTTGCGAACTTCTCAAGGCTTGCTCCAAAGATCTGGCATGGTAATGTGAGCCACAATCAAAACCCGGGTAGATGAAGGTTAGTAAGGGATAATCCAGACCATAAATAGCTGCGGAATTCCGCCTTCTTAAGTCTTGAAGCATGGTTCTGGGGATCGGCCATTTTGATACCAGGTTTTGATTATGACTCATGTGGCCGTCAGGAAAACCACGTGAAACCATGCCAATGTCCTGACCTTTCAGTTTGGTCACTTGTCTAGATCCCCCAGTAGTGCCCTTTTACCAACTTTTTTGGGGGAGGGTTCGCCTACTAAAATTCACCACAGAAAGGGTACCCTTATTCTATCCTCTGGAGGACCTAGTTCGTTAGAGCCCTTGAGCAACCCGGTTCTTGCTCGATACGTGAGCATGTTGCATAGAGCATGAATAGCGATAAGCACCCGAAAATGGCCTTGGCGTCCGGGCTCACTGTGGGTTGCACTTGCGAGTAAACACAACGTTGAGCATGAATGCGAGCCACAATCATTCAGGTAAGGAGGTAAGGGATCCATCCTGAAGTAGGTGACTCACTTAGTAGGTGACTCAGGATTTAAAACTTTGTAAAAAGACCATTTTAGCGGCAAACAAGAAAAGAGCTGTATTTTCTTTATGGCTACTTGGTTGGTTCTTTCGACTTTAACTGGTTAATTCAAAGTTTTGGTTTTCCCATTGGAATTACAGAAAGTCAAGTTGCAGCAAACATATTTTGGCCCATCCACGGCAGTTACTTGGGTATTGCTCATTTCATTTCAAGACTTTCGGAGGTGCAGGAAGCCCATTCTGCGTGAGCGCAACCTTTGGGCAACCAACTGGCGGGAAAAATACTGCGGATGGTGACGCAATTTCCATCAAACGCACCACCGTTCAGAACCCCCCGGTTGTGATTCGATAAACGCCAACGTAAACACCAAGACGTATACGCAATGGTTTCATCCCTGTGGGTTTCTTAGCATCGATAGTATGGGTATTTGTAATTGGGGACCTGAAATGGTGGACAGCATCTAGGTGGGGATTTATGTCCACCAACTGGGGATTTATGTCCACCAACCACTCATCAGGTGGTCTATCAAGCATCACAGCCGGGTGTCCATCCACATCTACAGGATATATTTGCTTCTACACCCGAGGGGTTGTACCAACCCGGAGCGGACCCGTGTGCCAGGAGCAAGCCGCGAAAGAGAAGCCGGACATCTCGATCTTCGAGAAGGCGGGTGACGGACTTGACGCGAAAGACAGAAGACAGCTTTGCCTGGAGTCTCCATGATCCATGACCCTTTTAAGAGTTGGGTCATGACCACTTTATTTTGCAGTATGTTGGGTAATGAGATCATTCTTTAAGAATTGGGTCATGTCATCCCTTTAGTTTGGGTAATGAGATCATTCTTTAAGAGTGAGCAGGAGATTCCGGCACTTTAGCCCTTGGAGAAGGCCATTTTCGTGGGCAAAGAAAAAGTCATGTTTGTTGCGTGGCACTGAGGAAGTACGGTACTAAGTTGTAGCACTTTAAACGGGGAATCTCTGAAATGGGGCTTGGCGCGAACATTGTGCTCATGACTGGAAGTCGGTTGTGTGTGTCGCGAATATTGTGCTCATGACTGGAAGTCGATTGTGCGTGTGAAAAAGCTTGGTCTATTTCTATTTTGGGATATGCCCTTTACTGGGTCTTCTCCAAAGCCATGTTATGTAGGGTGGACAAAATATGAAACTCAGAGCACATGATTTTTGGAGTACCCCACTAGATAACCAGCCAAGTTTCATTTTTGATGAAGGCTGGTTCCGAATTCGTCACCTACTACACAGGGAGCTGCATCCGGCCAAGCTTTGGGGTCGGTTCCCATGCGTAGGAGTGCGCGCGGCGCGAGCGCCAACGGAGCAAGGAGGAGCCGAAGGACTGAGCGACTGAGTCGACACCAGAAACCCTTTCTCTCCCGTTTTTGGGGAGAATTCCCTGCTAAAATAGACTACAGAAAAAAGGGTGCCCTTATTCTAACCTCTGTATATACTAATACTGGAGGACCTAGAAGGGAAACCACCAGTTTGGTGGTCCCATGGTCTGGGAGTTGGCTAAATGGTTAGTGTCCCTCGTTTTAGGGGACTTACTACCATGGTAAATGGATTACAAACTAGGGTTACTAACCACTTAGCTAACTCCCAGACCATCCAAGTAGTCCCCTTATTGCGGTAGACACTGCCATATATCCCTTTGGGGGGTTTGAACGACCTTTCGGTTGCCAATGATTTGATGAGTGAGTGTCCTTTTCTCAGTTGTAAGCCGATCTAAACCTTTGACAACGACAACCATCAGCCCATGTGGCCTTCCGCTGATCAAAGCGTTGCTTGCGCACCTGCAAGGGCCCTTGACAATGGCCCGAGGGGGCGTGCCCTGGAGGTGCTGCATAGCAGCCAGAGCTTCCATTGGTCTACCGAAGAAATCTATTTCAGGGGTTTTTCATTGTATAGGATATAGAGCCACAAAAAAATATCAGATAGCCACATGTAAGCCACACCATAAAGCTTTTTGATTTATCAGATAGCCACTATGTGTATTGGGCTTCTCGGCCCTGATTTCTCGAGCTTGGGGCTCGAGAGAATCAAGACGAGTCTAGCGGCGAGTTTAGATCGAGTCCAGCGAGTGGATGCAGAAGCCCAAGGTCCACCAGGGCCCTGCTCTCCCATGGGGTTCATCCATCCCTAGTGCAGGATTTTGTCTACCAGTAGGATGCTCGGTTTTTCAGTGGTGCCCTTCTCTCCCATTTCTTTTTGGGGGGAGGGCAAGCCCCTACTAAAATAGACAGAAGAAAAAAGGGTACTCTTATTCTATCCTCTCACATCTGGACCATTTTGTTGGCAGGGGTTCGCCAAGTAACCAACAAAGATGCTCAGAATCGCCCGGCCACCGGCCTGGGGTTTTGGAGGCTGGGCAAAAAACGCTAGAAAAAGGGGAGCCGAATAAAAACCACCAGGTTTTGGGGCAAGCCAAGTAAGATCGACTCAGGATTGTTTTGTGTTTTTTCCCCCGGAAAACAGTTAAAACAGTGGTTGGTTCGCCAATCCCCCGCAAGCCCACCCTCAGAGAGTCACCCAGCATGCGATTTCTGGCGAGCTTCAGCACTTCGAAACACAAATCGCCAACGCAAAACGCGCCGGCAACGGCCTGTACAAACCTGGCTGGATTTTCTTCTTCCGCCATGAGGGCGCCTTTCAAGAGGGCGCATCATGAGGGCGCCTTTCAGGAGTCCTTAAAGTGAACCTCTTTTATTTCAGAGCCAAAGCAAAGAGGTAGCCCGTTTTTTTCCAAAGTGAACCTGCTATTGTTTGGTGAAAGCAAAGAGGTAGCCACCAAAGGAAAGGCGAGCCACCCACCCATCAAAATCGGATGCCGTCGGATGGAGACATCGAGGACGAGCTGCAGCAGAAGAAGCTGGTGGCCGCTCGGGCCAAGGACTATGCCGGCAGCCCAGCGGAATCCGTCGGATCGGATTTGTTTTCGCGGCCAGGCGGTTTTCGGTGTTCTCCATTTCCCCTGTGGTGGAAACCAGAAAAGGACACCCACCAGGGAAACCCATCTATTTTGCCTTGAAAAGGACACCTATGATGGGGGTCTTGGGTTTTTGTTTAGGGGTTTTATCTGTTTCCCTTTTTGGAAGCTCCAAACGCGATCGGTTCGATGGAAACCAGTAAATTGACCAGCTTTTGATTTGGGGAAATCCAGTGAGCCCTGAAGTGGCCAATGTTCCTCTACTAAAATAGGCAGCAGAAAAAACATCGGGTACCCTCCTTCTATCCTCTCTACTGGAGGACCTGGGATCGCTTTATGGTCCTTGGTTCCTGCGCTTCAGGTGCAACGCTTGCAAGAAGATCTGCAACGGAAGCAGCAGGAGAACCGCTTGAAGAAGCAAGAGCTCGAGCGACAGGCGCAAAAATCCAAGCGAATCGAATCGACGAAGAGTCGGACATCGGATTGGAGACATAAGTGTCCTGTTTGATTGTTTTGGTAAAACAAATAGATGGCAATTCCTGGTTTACCTGGTGGTTCAATCATCTACCCGGGCCATCTATTTCCCCTAAAAGGACGCCTATGATTGGAGAATTGTCCTAGATACAGCTGAGTTGCGCTAGTTTGGAGTATCAGTCTATCTGCCAGGTTTGTTTCATCCAGGCAAGCAACCTGGAAGCCATCATGTAAAGCCTAGAGGTACAAAACCTGGTTACCGTCTTTCCTGGAAGCACTGGGTTTTGGCGCATACTTTTGACGGATGCTAACGTGTGACAAATTGTTCCAGTGCAACCAACCGCCTATGTGGGCACCTGCGGTCAATGCCAACACCCGGATAAGGGAAAACCACCTATTTTGGGTGTCTATTAAAGACATACCTGGAGTCTCCATGATCCGAAATACAAATGGGTCAATGACCAACATGATTTTGGGCAATGACCAACCATTTTTTAAGGGTTAGAAGGAGACTCCAGGTACCCATCCTGGGTGTGGTTTAACGGGAAACCCAAATACAACTTTTGGAGGGGTATCTTTTAGGAGTTGTTTTAGACAATAATTGCACAAAAAAAGCTCCACACCCCAACAAAAACCATAAAACCACCAGGAGTTCTTTCGGGCTTCGGAGCCAGCCCCGGGGCCAAGAGCACGAGCAGGCGGAAGAGAACAAGAAGCCCCGGCAGCCAAAAGCCGTCAAGGCGGGTCCGGGAGACGTTTCGTCGAGCCGAGGGTTTCGCGGGTTGGATGGGAGGCCCTCGCAGTTGTTCAGTGGATTCCGCCAATTCTTTTCAACTTGTTGTTGGGGAAGGATTTACCTTGAAACTCAACCAACCAAAAAAGGATGCCCTTTTTTTCCCATGGCCAGAGGGCATCTGAATCTGAGTCGTACTTTCAGGTAAGCCACAATTGGATGTGCCTTCTTATAATACCCTACAAAAAGCGGGTATTGGGTGTAGAGGGTGGCAATTTGAGCCACAATCGAAGCCCAGGTAGATGAAGATTAAGGGAGAATCCCAAGCAGAAATGGGCCCCTTCGCCGCCTTTTTGAACTCTTGAAGCATGGTTCTGGGTAGGCCATTTAATCCCAGATTTCCTGATTATGACTCAGGAAACCCTTACTTCCATTCGCTTAAGTTGTTGTTGATTTTTGTTTTAAACACCTTGTTGGTAAAGGGGGCGGGACTCAAGAAGCAATGGAAGCTTTGTTGGTGGTTTGGATTGTTGATTTTGAGTTCGATTTGAACCCCTGATTCTTGGGAATACAGAGGACACCGCGAACATCCGCCAACCTTCAAACCACCAATCCAATCGGAGATGATCAGTGAGTAGGTTGTTAGCATGGGTTTAAACATCAACTATTGCTGTCCCGCAAAGCGCGGTTATAGTCTCCGGTTACTGAGTTTGAGTATTGAAGTGATCAAGTGGTCAACACACTGAGCCTGATGCTGGCGAGCTCGTGGGCCGGAAAATAAGCTAAGCAGCTTTGACCTCTTTCAGCTGATGGACCAATCTGGAAGAAGATTCTGAACCGATCGTTTCCAACGGTTTTCAACCACTTGGTTCATGCCAACCAAATCCAGGGAACAGCCCTCAATGGCAGTGTTCCCTGCGCAAGTTCCGTTGGAAAACCTCGCGGAAGGACAGCGAAGGGTCTCGATAAAATGCAAAGTTGCTGCACGCGCACCTGCAGTGGCCACGGCGTGCGCCATGCTGCTAGGTCCCCCAGTAGTGCCCCTTTACCAACTTTTTTGGGGGAGGGTTCCCCGACTTTCAAAATAGACTACAGAAAAAGGGTACCCTTTCTACTGGAGGACCTAGCTGCACTCTTTCTGAACCGAATCAATCATGTTTGGTCATGATCGAACAATTTGGGGTAATGCCCACATTTTGTAATGTTAATGGAGACTGCGGTTCGTGTTGACCCCTGATTAATTAACTCCTGCTTATCAACAGGGGGTGTCCCTGAGTTTAGTGGAGATTTATCACTGTTGGAGGGGCACACCCCCGTGTGTGATTCGTCCGGGGTGAACATTAATTGGTTTGCCCCTTACTGGCTGGTGATTTGAAACCGCCTTGTTGATTGGACACCCACATGTTTGATTCGGGTCCTGACCGGAGACTCGTAGAAACAAAAGCAGGGAAACAGCCATGCTTAGCGCAGGCTGGCAGACTCCAGCCCGAAGTGGGTTCGGTTTGGGGAGTCGTGTTTTGTCTAGTCTGTTGGTTGTTTTTTTTGCCCCCCCCCCCCGAAAACACATCGGACTCATTTGGTGAAGGGGGCGGATTACTTTTGACCTCAAGCTGCTAGCTGTTGCTTGGAAGGGACCCATTCCGGAGCTGGGGGTATCCAAATGACAGTTTAAAGAGGCAGCCTTTCGGAGCTATCAGTTCGATAAGGACATGGTGGGTACTGCCTTTGTTTTTACTTTGCCCCCTGCTGAAAGCTTGGGAGTCTCTGCCTTGCCGGAGTGGCTCGGAGGTTTTTGCTCCGGCACTGATTTCCCGGGCTCGGCGGGGATCGATCCCTGCTTGTCTTCGAGGCTTCATGTTCAGATGCCAAACTCTGTTGCCCCATGGTGCCCTTTTCCCCTTGTTTTGGGCAAGGGTTCCCCTTTAAATTCAACCAACAAAGAAAGGGTGCCCTTCTTTTTCCCATGGCCACTGGGCATCTGAGGAAGAAAGTTGCCCCATTCTTCCTATGAAAATCTACTCTAGCTTTTTATTCGGCTGTTCAATCGTCAATCCGTACCTTGCGAGATGGATCCACTAGGCTTTCCACAGCGGATTGCAAGTTAGGATTGGCTGCACCATGAACAGACCGGCTTAGCCTTTTGGAAAAACACTTACCCCACCAGCCATGGTTGTTGTTGGGACACATCTTACACTTTTGCTTATTGTGGTTTAGTGGTTGAAAACCCCACTGAACGGCTTTTTTCCTTCATTTTTTGGCTCCCCAAACCCAACGTCAACCAAGCAACCAGAAAAGGCGGCAAACTTCCTGGGGCGTCAAGGACCTAAGTGACCATACTTGGATGAGGTTCGGAGATATTCGGTGGACACGGGGCGGACACATGGCTGCGGCTCAAAAACACGTGTGCCAAAATGGCACCCTTGGCAAATGGAAACAAGACTAAAACCTGCGTAACCCTAGCTGTTTAATTTTGAGCCACACCCACATGAAGTCTCTCTCTCTCTCCCTCTCTCGGGCACTGCCTCATCTTCCCATTTTTCTTGTCCAATCTCGAAACCCTGGGATATGTGACTTGGTGGTTCCCAGCCGTCCGGTTCCTCAGGATTTGTTTAGCTGGTTTGGTGCTTTAGCGGTTGGGTGTCCATTGAATTTACCCACAAACCGCTAAACTTTTAGCAGATCAGAGAGCGGGCAAACAAGAAGCTCATGTTTTTTGGCAGTTTGTGGACACCTGGCCTTACCAACACCAAGACATCTTGTTGTTTTGTTTTTCCCCTTTTTTTCCATCAGTGAGAATGGCAAAAAGCTGAGAGAAAACCAACAAGGGAAAAGCGCGACCGAGCCAACAACGAAACACAGTTTGGGGCTGAACCCAAAGATTTGTTGTTGTGTTTGGTTTTCTCGAGTTGGGACAAAGCTGTTGGGTGCTTGTTCGTAACAGTTCGCCCTTTGTTTCCACCATCAACCCTTGGTCGCTTGAAACAGGTGTTTGAAACATCAGGAGTACCCAAAAACAGGTATATATTTTCCTGTGTCACCCTGAGTCACCCCTTCCTCTCTTCCTTTCTTCCTTTTGTAGGAGTTAACCCTGTCTGGAGTCACAGTAGGAGTTGTCCTCTCTTCCTTTTACCAACCCCAAGCCAAGGGACCCGTCGCCGCAAGAGCCACGCCCACTCGCCAGGCAAGACCAGAGACCTTCTATCGCCTGCATTTAGCTGCTCGGCTCAAGACAGTTTCTGGTGGATTTTTAGAAGGAAACTAAGAGGAACACCGAAGCCATTTTGGAGGGTTCACCTACATACAAGACAAAACGACACGTCGACTTGGCGAGCCGAACCAAACCAAGTGGTTTCGCAGACCAACAAAGTATGCTTGAGTCCCAAGATTCAAGGGGCTGGATTTCAGAAAAACTTGAAGAAGGTGGGATTGAGATGTCGGGGCAAAGGGTTTGGGGTGATGGGCTTGTCCTTTTAAAGGGGGACCCCTGAAAGTGGTAAACCATGTTTCCAGCCACGAACACCTGGTACTTGTACATGGGGTTGCCTTTTTGGAGGATTCTCTTTTTGGAGTGGGTTTGAAGAGCAAGCAAAAGGAAATCACTCATGTTTTTTGGGCCCTCCATTTTAAGACAGACCCCAAATACACCTTTTAAGAAGTCCCTTGTTCCCAAAGCTGCGTGTTTTCAATTGGGGGAGTCATGGCAAAACGGGCTGCGTCCTCGGATTTTGGTTTGAAGCAACCCCACAAACGGTACCCTCAAAAGGAACACACCCCAAGTAGTGCAACTAGGGCCATTGGTTGTCCTAAGTGTTCTAAACCAGGATGCCCCTCAGGGCATTCAAATGGAAACGAACCAGCCATTTGGGTATGGGTCAAAAGCCCGTACCCCCAAGTGAACATCCCAATGCCCACTAAAATAGACTGGAACCCCAAAATGGGATCCCATTGGTTTTGACAACCACTGCCATTTGTTGTTTAGTCAAGAGAACCCCACGCCAGCGCTTCCAGTTCTCACGAACTAACCTAGGTTTCTTATCCGGTACTATTCTAGGGGTGCCTTCCCCATTCTTTCCAGGGATCCTTCTTTCTGAAAGAGCGATGGTTGAGAAGAATGGGGAATCAACCCCTAGAACTATGGCTTGCCTGGAGTCCGCACTGCCCCTACCTCAACACGGCACTCTGTTAGGACCAACTGTTGGGACCCCAAACGCCCTGATCGGTAATTAGATGTTCTGGGAGTTAGCTAAATGGTCAAACTTCCTGGTTATAGGGACTTACAACCATGGTAAATGGGTTGCAACTAGGGCAAAGCTAAGCACTTAGCTAACTCCCAGACCATCTAAGTACGCCATCGCCTTGGTCCGTCGCTGCAAGTTGGATCTTCCCGACCTTCGCAAGGGCCCTTCGCGATGTTCCTTGGTGTAGGCTCCCCATGATTCATGATTACCTGCTATGGAGTCTCCTTCCGACCCTCACAAAAATGGGGTCACCCAAAATAAAGGGGTCAGGACGGTCATGATTTCATTATTCGTGTCAGAAAACTCCACGTACAAATACCGTACAAATAGAAGTTTGTTACTTCCTTGCCTGTTGGGGCCATTTGGCTTTTTTCGGCACCTCTATCCGACACTCGGGGTCCGTGAGGCTTTGGCCATTAAGCATTTCTGTCTTCCTGGAGTCTCCATGACCCTTAAAAAATGGGGGGTCATGTGCCAAACAAAGGGGTCACGACCCAATTGTTAACTGGTCCAAGGAGACTCTACATGAGTTTTGCCATTGAGCTCCCCCAGCACTTTGCGAGGCGAAATTCATCCCTTGCTTCTGAAATCCGAAATAAAACCCACTAGGAGCATTGGGCAGGCACACCGCACTTGCTCATGTTCGTCGATCCCAGTTCTTGGATGTGGGAATCCGTTTTTTCTGACCTTTTTCCTTTGGCTTGTCGAAAGGGCGGAGTTTTTTTGTGGCTTACTATGCAGGAGTATCGATTTTTCTGGGCACGGTTGAACATTCAACCCTCCGGCAGCCGAACCGGCAAAACTGGTTTCCGCGTTTCTAGTGGGCTTTCGTGGATCAACTCTTCCAGGATATGTGAGGCGTTTTAGAGCACTGAAAGAAACGAACAATACAGAATGAACAAGGAATTGAACAGAAGGAATCCCTCCCAAATGCATCTAAACGTGTTTCTCTGGAAGGGTTATCAAAGCGGACCACTTGCCCAAATCCGAGGACGGAATGCAGAGGCCGGCGCGGTTGGCGCCTTGTGAACCGGAGTTCGGTTCGAGTTGGGTTAAGCTCGAGTCCCAGAGCTCTTAGGTTGAGAGTCAAGCCCTGCCTGCGTATGTTCTGAAACTCAGTTGTTCAAAGCGAATCGACCGGATCTGACCTTTTGGTTTTCCCATGGTCCATATTTCGTCATGGCACCAAAAGGTGATCACCTTTTAGTTCCAGGTCCCTAGAGGGCAACTGAGGAAAAGGGGGGGCTCAAGAAATGCAGAGATCCTCCTTTCCTTGAGCCAACAAAGCAAAAAAAACGGGTAGCGGCTCAAGCAAAGCGACACGGCCTGTTTTCGGTGTTTCCGTTTTTCCCTGCTGTGGTGGTGGTCCTACGGACTACAGATCAGGATGACATCTTTGGGGCTGCCCTCCCATTTGGGTGGCTTTAGGATACCCCAGAAATGGATTCAGTTTCCCTGTTGGCTTCCCTTTGAAACCGCCAAAGAAAGGGACCAGCTCTAAACAAGACAAGCCACCCATTTTGAAGGACCTTTGAGCCTCGGACAGTCTTAGCCGCTTGGGCTAAGAATCAGTTGATCCAAGATGCTTTCCTTTCCTTTGGTGAAGAAGTAGGTGTCCTTTTCAGGTTGGTTTGGTTGGACATAGATGGGACTAGTTTAGATTGAGTCCGCGTAATTACCAGGGCCATCTACTGTACCTATGTTAAGACAAGTAGAACTCTCCCGTCCATTCTGCCACTGCCAGGGTACTTTGCATATGGGCTCCCTTGGACAAATGGAATTGGGGACCCCTCTCCCCCCCCTCTCCCCCCCCCTCTCCCCCCCCTCTCCCCCCCCCTCTCCCCCCCTCTCCCCCCCCCTCTCCTCCCCCTCACCCCCTCCCCCCCCCAACCCCCCCCCCCGAAAACCTGAAAAAGAGCGGGCCGCCCATATTCAAAAAAAAGCTCAGCGCTCTTCCGGCCAACGCATCACGCGCATCCCCCGCGCCCGATCGACGATCGATCGAGGGAGGAGGCCTTGGCGGAGCGAAGACGGATCAAGGAGATGGAGGAGGAGTACCAGCTGAAGGCCGTGCGGCGGGCGGCGCGGGACGTGTGGCCTTTGGGGGTGTTGAAGCTACGTCGGCAACAGATTGCCCAGAGGTGCCAATTCGTTGTTCAACTTTTTCTTCTTTTTTTTGGGGGGGGGGTAAGGGGGGTAAGGGGGGTAAGGGGGGTAAGGGGGGTAAGGGGGGTAAGGGGGGTAAGGGGGGTAAGGGGGGTAAGGGGGGTAAGGGTTCCCCTTTTAAACTTAACCAACAAAAAAAGGCCTTCTTGGGTGTGTGGCTTTGGGTCGTATCGCTACGTCGGCAACAGATTGCCGAGTGAGTGGTGCCATTATGATTCTTTAAACTTTTTTTGGGGTAAGGGTTCCCCTTTAAACTCAACCAACAGAAAAGGGTGCTCTTTTTTCCCACGGCCACTGGGCATCTGAGTCGGCTGTGTAGCTAGGTTGAACAAATGGTGAGATGGGGATGGGACAATCACCCCAGTTGCCCTCCCACTTAGAACCATCATCGTCTACTTAGTTGGTTGAACACCCAAGTTGGGTAAAGACAAAGGTGTTTTTGTTTGTTCTCCATGGCAAACCGAGGTGCCGTTCTGCTTTTTCACTGTCCATGGTTCTAGGGGAATTGATGTAAGGTTTCTCACCCCAGAGCGAATCAACCAGAGCTGACCGTGCGGTCCATAGTCGGCCCGGCCACCCGTGGTGGCGATGACTGATTCCACTGGGAAGATTCCTCGCACGAAACCACACCTTTTGGAAAAGGAGGCTGTTATGGGTGTCTCGTCGTTTTTTTAGGACCTCAACATATGGTGTGTTTTTTGCGGCTTTTCTTTACATGAACCCCGAGGGTACCTGCAGTCTCCTTCTCTCCCTGAAGAGATGGTTACTTTTTTTTGGAAAAGGAGGCTGTGCGTTTTCCAGGCGACCCTACTCGGTTTGGTGAGAGTGAGGAACATGGCTGGCGCAACTCTGCCTTTCGTGGGTTTCGTCATCCCCTGTCGGCGCCGACAAGGGAGTTGTGCCATCTACCCCAGTGCTTCCAGTTACCATTATACTTCACCAGAATTAGCTCCCCTTTTTGCTTTTTTGCTTTTTTGGGGTTCCCTTTGTTTTCCACCAACCAGGCAAAAATATATTTTTTTTGCTGGGGTCCTAATTCCAGCCAAGTATAGTAGGTAACCGCCTGGAAGCTCTGGCTACTTCACCCTGCAAAGATTTTTGCCAAACCAATAAATGGGGCGCCTGGCCAAGTTTTCAACCCCCTTTGGTTTGGAGGAAAAATGGTGGACCTTCAAGAGGATTCTACACTCATAAAGCGGGTGGCTCTTTTTCAACCAAAAAAGCGACCAAGGGGGAAACCCAGTTGGGCCTTGGCATGGTTCTAAAGACAAAACCAAAAGGACAAGCCACTTTACGGGACAGTTGGATGAAAGTAGCTAAAAAGGGTACCCTCAAAAGCCGACAAAACAATCAAACAAGCAAACTTTCAAACAACCAAACAAACAAACAAACAAACACACAAACAAAAACACACCCACACACACACACACTCGCACACACAAAGTAGTACCCTCCCCCCCCCAGCTTTAAAGCACACACACACACACACAGCACACGCAAAAGAGTACTCCCCCCCCTTCAAAGCACACACACACACACACCGAGCTATATTTTTGCAACCGCCGCCGCTGGACATATGCGCAGGCCAGGAGCATTCACAGCCGATCTGCGCACAACCCTCAGGTCTTCTCCAGGCGGATCAGATTCGACGTGCTCGGGCACGCGTGCGAGCGAATGTCTCCCTTACTGAGGTTCATCTAAGAAATGGTTTAGATTGGCGCTGTTTTCGTGGATCTCATTTTTTCTTGTCTTTTTCTGTTGGGTCTTTTTTGGTACACTTTTAGTAGCTCCTTTTATATCCTACAGGGGTGGATCCACAAAAAAAGCCATCAAAAGCGTTTCCTAGAATTCCTGGACTTCATGAATTTGGTCATACGGGTTTTCCCTTATTCTTGGTGAATTCGTATCTCGGGTCTCGTCGAAACACTCTTTGATGTTGTTTGGGGTATACTAAAAATTCAACAAACTCAGATATTTTTCCCATGTACCCCAGTGCTCGCTTCGTGCGTTCCGGACTAAACCCAGCGACGCAGCATTGGTCGAGCTGGGCCACTGGGATGCCACGCAAAAGCTCAAGTCGGAGTATATTGCTGACACAGATGCACATCGGTGGCCCTTTTGGTCAGTTTGCTTGAAACTCGATGGCACGCGGTTGGTTCGTTCGTTCGTTCATTTGCCAGTGCCATCTATCGATTTTTTACCTAAAAGGACACCTGTGCGGGTGCGCGCTTCTTCAGGGAGCTTGTCGCCGAGACAAATGGGGCTGTGTTCTTTTGAGGGTGCGCTTTTTCGGGCTGTTGAACCTTGAGGTTGCCTGATTGCCCTGCAGTGTTTCTCACTTCCTGAGTTCATGAACTTTAAACTTTTTGGGAACACCATTTTAGTGGTAAATAGAAAGTTTGGACTTTTGTTTGGCCATCCACTCAGCAAGTGAGGTTTCATGCTGCAATAAGTTTGGTGAGATTTTGTTCCGGTATGTTCAATGTTTTTTTGTCAAAACTATGAGCATTTTGGAATACAAGGGCTTGACAAATTGGAGAGAGAGTACTTTAGAAGCATCTTTCGTCATCCCAGTGGATCCCAGCTAAGCATATAGTGGTTAACCAGCTATTTGTCTTTTGGTTTTAAAAGGTGGTTGCCTTGCTTGCCTACTATGCAGGTAAATGAATCCACTGGGGATATTATTCCGAAATTCCTTGAAGTACTCAGCCTCCTTGCTACTCAACATCCGCCGGGTTGACAAGAGGAAAGCGGACGAGACAAAGTTGGATCCGATCATGTTCTCCGCAACTGAGCGTCAACCAGGGCAGAAGATTCACTGGCTGAAGGAAGAAGCAACGATGGCTGACAATGGGTGTTTCATCGTGGCGAATCTCATGCTTGATATATTGCTTGTTATTCAAGTCGGTCAGGTATTTCTGTGGGCGGACTATGGATAGCAGCGAACATGCTGGGCATTGCAGCGTACGCGGTCTCTTTATCCCGAGTGCTTGGCAAACCATGTATCCAATACACTCAAAGGAGGCAAGATAGGCAGCTGGGGAAGCACGGAGCGAAGGAAGGCACCTTCACCGCGAGAATGGAGTTTGTCACGATGGCCTGTCATTTCAGGTACTACATCTAGGTCCCCCAGTAGTGCCCTTTTAGATTTTTTGGGGGAGGTTCCCTATTAAAATAGATGTCCTGCAAAAAGGGTATAAGCCTTATTCTAACCTCTCTACTGGAGGACCTAGACATGGTCCTGACCGAATTGGCGTTTCAGTCATACGCATGCTTGTGGGACCACCTCGTGCTCGTGGCCCGGTGGGGGCCTCGTAACAGTAGTCCCATATTGCTCTATTCCATGGAGAGTAATCATGGTCATGATTGAGGGCTACTGCAAAATTAGATGGACCCAGACATGGGCAAAGAGCTCTGTGCTTTGTTCTAAGATGGAGACTTCGATGGGGCTCAAATAGAGGCGACAATGGAAACACTTGTCTTAGGACGCGACATGTCCAAGCGGCGATCACTGCGAACCATTCAACATGTTGCCAAAGCTGTATATCACACCTAGCGTTTGTGGCTGGACATGATTCGCAAGAAACTGTCAGCAGTTCTGCTTTCAGCGACTGACAAAAACGTTAGCTGCATACAGCAACCTGTTTGCCACCCAACGCGACATGCGCAATCTTCGTTCGAAGGGTTCTTTTTCAACATCAAACCTGGTTCAAACCACTGTCGTTCATCCTCCCGGAACGATAATGGTTCTCTTGAAGATTAATTGAAGGATTCCGGTTAAACAGGCTCATATAATATAAGGGGCGCCGGGAAACTCTTTCTGTAAGCCAACTCCCACGCAATCCATGGGGGATCGCACTGGCCCCAAGAAAGTTCTGCGGAGGGTCTCAAAAAGCATTGCATGGCGCCTGGCGCGATGCCAATTTCTCAATAAAGCAAGGTCACAGAAATCGACCAACCACCGGATCCTACGAATCGCCAATTGTCTTTTTCCCCCCTCTCGGAAACCAAAGGGAATGGAGAAGCCTCTTATTTGTACTGGCCATTCTTCTGACACCAAAATTGGATGGACCATGGACAATGCTTCATTTTGTCCTCTCCCAGTTTGGGTATGTGTCAAAATCGGGCTTGGACCCCACAACCGGGTGGTTCTCCGTTTGACTTCCTTTCTTAAACCGACCCCGAAAACCGGCACCCTCAAAAGGAACATAGCTGGAAGCTTAGCGACAAAAGCACATTCTGCGGACTCGCTCGGGACTGGTTCGCCCATGAGCTTGGCGCGGCTCAGAGCTCCGGCGCAGGTTATACTCCAAGACCCCGCGGGAGGCGTGGAAAGTGTGATTCGGCAGCCCGAAATACCGGATGTAAGGAGCCAAAGGGGTGATACACGCGGCGTCTTGTCTTAAAAAAGATGCCAAAATCGTCCAGTGGCCGAATCCGGTCCCTTTGTAGCAACTACAGGTTTCGTCTTTTTGAGAGAACATTCCAAAATGGTGCCAGCAGTGGGTACCAGTTACCCCAAAAAAGTAGGCAACCAGCTATGTGCCTTTTCTTAAGGGTTGGTTATCTACTGTACAGGTAAATGGATCGACTGAGGGTGGTGTTCCTTTCGGTTCCCTTCAAAACCACGGAATAAGGGCCCTTCAAAAAGATACCCCACACGGTACCAAGGGACTATAAGGCTGGTTTGAGGGGCAAACAGAAGGAACCCCAGCATCTTGTGGTCCTCCGATTAAAAATAAAATAAAATGCATGAACCCCTATGGCCATTTGGGCATGCAAAAACCGGACCCTGACCTCCACTGGATTCTTCCCAAAGGGTTGCGATCTGAATTGAGGTCCCTGTGTTTACCTAAAGACCCTCGAAGGTCCCAAATCTCTTAAAGCGACATCCAGACCCATCGGATCCTTCCGCGACTTGAGAAATTGGGGCGAGGGGGGGCCTGGATCCATTTGTGGTTCTATGTTCCCTTTTATGGCTGTGGCTCAAAAAGTGGAATCCATTTTTGGGCCCTTGGATGGAAACAAAGACCAAAACCTGCGTAACCCCTGCCCTTAAATTTTGAGCCACACCCTGATGCGGCTAGACAAATTGTTGATTGGGGGACTTGATCCCCTGCTGGTCCCAGTTTGTACGGGGGATGTGCGACCAACGAGGGGGTAATGTTTGTTGATCCTTTGCGAGTGAGTCCTAAATTGGGAAACAAGACCCCCCAAACCCCAAAGAAAGTGAGCAAACACGCAGAGAGCATTGCTAGTCCGGTTCGGCCTTTTGCACTTTCGCTGTCCTTAATGTCCTTTTTAAGTAGCAAACAGGATTTTGTTTGACTTTGCAGGGGGTCTAAGTCTGGCCAAAATTCAGAGGGAAGTCGCCACTGTATCCGCACAGGGCCCACACTGAAAATATGTTTGTTTTTTGTGTAAACCAAGCTCTCAAACTCTAGGTAGTGGTTTGGAACCGGGTGGTTTGAGGGTGAAACAGGATGGCATTTCATTAACCTCTGCAAGAACCAGGGGTTCAAATCCCCACACCACCAACCCAAACCACCAATTGGGGCTTGCCTGAAGAATGTCATGTTGTTGACCCTGAAAGGCGTAGCAGGGTGGGGGCCTTTTTACCTGACTCATATGGCCATGAGTGCTATGTGGGTTGAATAGTGACCCAAGTTGGTCTCCAAATTGCAGGAGGAACGAAGTGCGAGAGGCAGACGTAGCGAGCCCCTGCGGGCGCTGCTGCTTGGCGTCCCCGGCATCGGAAAATCGCAGCTGCTGAAGATGCTACGGGGCTTTTTCGAGTCCGCGTGCAAGTGGACGCACGGTCGCGAGTTCGTGTTCCTCGCGCCGTACAACACGCAAGCGGCATTGATCCACGGGGCGGGTTACAACTGCATTGGTGGAATCGACTCGCCCCTTGTATCTGCGATATCTGTTGGAAGGTTTGAGCATGTTTGGAATGTTGAATGAAGCTTTTGTAAAGCCGCATCGTTGTTTTATAAACAAACACAACAACGACCATTTTGTGCATTGCATTGTGTTAAGGGGGATTGACAACCATGTCTTTGAACACAATTGCAAATAAACATATTGTGGTTGTTAGGCAAAGCCGAAGCTTTAGCATCATGGGACCGCATTCGGGGGGTCTACCTCCGCAAAAAGGTTTGGGACCGTAAAAAGGCTTCTCAGCTCATCTCCAGTCGGCTTCCAGCTGCCACTATGGTAGGAAACCAATTAAGTATGGCTACCTCTAGGTTTTACATCATGGCTTCCCCTGTTACACCTAGGTTTTCCAGTAGCGCCCTTTTACCCTTTTTTGGGGAGGGTTCCCCCACTAAAATAGACTACGGACATCGTTGGTACCCTTATTCTAACCTCTCTACTGGAGAACCTGGAGGGTCTACCTCATTGCTCCGTTTTGGGTCTGGCTGGGGGGAAATCGGTTGCTTTCCATGACGGACCAGGGACGAAACGCGACCGCATATTAAACATATTACTGTAGAATGCCTAGCAGTGGTAACACTGGGCAGCGTACGTCCGACTCAGCATGTGGGCCCAGGCGCAGCTGGATGCTGAGGATCGGGGCCGACTTGGGCATGAAAAGTCGTTGTGTGTGGTCTTTTTCGGGGAGCCGGTTCCCAAAATGGGCGGTGTTGCGCCTTTTCTTGTGGGGCGTCCCTGAAAACTTGTACTTAAATTGGGAACCAACTCCAATCAAAATATAGGGATTGGGGCCCCGATTTTTTTGGGCTTCCCTTTAAATCAACCCCAAGACTACCTGTAGTCTCACCCCGAAGAGACGATTGATCATTACCCAAAATGAATTGGTCATGACCCATGTTTAAAGGGTCATGGAGATTGCAGGTACCCTGAAATGGCACACATGCATATTGAACGATGTCCATTGTCATGCATACCATGACCAACAAACCCAATGGCAGGAGATTGTTTGGGCCCGTGAGTGTGGGGTTTACCTTGTTATTGGCGGGTTGTATGCCAGGTGGCCAACCAGTTAGTAACTTAGCTGCGAGCATCCAAGCGCACATTCCTGAAGTCCGCAAATGTGATGTACCACCCTCACCCATAAAAGCGGTAACGCCCAGAGTGAAGCCCTGACCTGGTTTGCAACCCAGGTGCCCAACCAGATACTATCTTAGCAACAAACAGCAAAGCCCTGACCTCCAGGTTTAGCAACGGACATCCAAGTAAAGCCCTGACCTCCAGGTTTAGCAACGGAGATCCAAGTAAAGCCCTGACCTCCAGGTTTAGCAACGGACATCCAAGTAAAGCGCTGACCTGCAGGTTTAGCAACGGAGATCCAAGTAAAGCCCTGACCTCCAGGTTTAGCCCTGACCTCCAGGTTTAGCAACGGAGATCCAAGTAAAGCGCTGACCTCCAGGTTTAGCAACGGAGATCCAAGTAAAGCGCTGACCTCCAGGTTTAGCAACGGACATCCCAGTAAAGCGCTGACCTGCAGGTTTAGCAACGGAGATCCAAGTAAAGCCCTGACCTCCAGGTTTAGCAACGGACATCCAAGTAAAGCGCTGACCTGCAGGTTTAGCAACGGAGATCCAAGTAAAGCCCTGACCTCCAGGTTTAGCAACGTACATCCCAGTAAAGCGCTGACCTCCAGGTTGAGCAACGGAGATCCCGGTAAAGCCAAGACCTCCAGGTTTAGCAACGGAGATCCAAGTAAAGCGCTGACCTCCAGGTTTAGCAACAGACATCCCAGTAAAGCGGTAAAGCCCTGACCTCCAGGTTTAGCAACGGACATCCAAGTACAGCCCTGACCTCCAGGTTTAGCAACGGAGATCCAAGTAAAGCGCTGACCTCAGGTTTAGCAACGGACCTCCCAGTAAAGCGCTGACCTGCAGGTTTAGCAACGGAGATCCAAGCAAAGCCCTGACCTCCAGGTTTAGCAACGGAGATCCAAGTAAAGCCCTGACCTCCAGGTTTAGCAACGGACATCCAAGTAAAGCGCTGACCTGCAGGTTTAGCAACGGAGATCCAAGTAAAGCCCTGACCTCCAGGTTTAGCAACGGAGATCCCAGTAAAGCGCTGACCTCCAGGTTTAGCAACGGACCTCCCAGTAAAGCGCTGACCTGCAGGTTTAGCAACGGAGATCCAAGCAAAGCCCTGACCTCCAGGTTTAGCAACGGAGATCCAAGCCCTGAAAGCCCTGACCTCCAGGTTTAGCAACGGACATCCAAGTAAAGCGCTGACCTGCAGGTTTAGCAACGGAGATCCAAGTAAAGCCCTGACCTCCAGGTTTAGCAGCGGACATCCCAGTAAAGCGCTGACCTCCAGGTTTAGCAACGGAGATCCCAGTAAAGCCAAGACCTCCAGGTTTAGCAACGGAGATCCAAGTAAAGCGCTGACCTCCAGGTTTAGCAACAGACATCCCAGTAAAGCGCTGACCTGCAGGTTTAGCAACGGAGATCCCAGTAAAGCCAAGACCTCCAGGTTTAGCAACGGAGATCCAAGTAAAGCCAAGACCTCCAGGTTTAGCAACGGAGATCCAAGTAAAGCCCTGACCTCCAGGTTTAGCAACGGACCTCCCAGTAAAGCGCTGACCTGCAGGTTTAGCAACGGAGATCCCAGTAAAGCCAAGACCTCCAGGTTTAGCAACGGAGATCCAAGTAAAGCGCTGACCTCCAGGTTTAGCAACAGACATCCCAGTAAAGCGCTGACCTGCAGGTTTAGCAACGGAGATCCCAGTAAAGCCAAGACCTCCAGGTTTAGCAACGGAGATCCAAGTAAAGCCAAGACCTCCAGGTTTAGCAACGGAGATCCAAGTAAAGCCCTGACCTCCAGGTTTAGCAACGGACCTCCCAGTAAAGCCCCCTGCAGGTTTAGAGGTTTCCCAGTAAAGCCAAGACCTCCAGGTTTAGCAACGGAGATCCAAGTAAAGCGCTGACCTCCAGGTTTAGCAACGGAGATCCAAGTAAAGCCCTGACCTCCAGGTTTAGCAACGGAGATCCAAGTAAAGCGCTGACCTCCAGGTTTAGCAACGGAGATCCAAGTAAAGCCCTGACCTCCAGGTTTAGCAACGGACCTCCCAGTAAAGCCAAGACCTCCAGGTTTAGCAACGGAGATCCAAGTAAAGCGCTGACCTCCAGGTTTGGCAACGGACATCCAAGTAAAGCCCTGACCCCCAGGTTTATGTACCCTCAAACCAGCCATTAAATTGGGTATCGCCCTGAGAAGTAAAGCCCTGATCTCCAAATTTGTTTTGCGCACAAAGCCCATGCCACGGACCCAGCTCGCACCTTCAGCAGGAGTCCGCGTACAGCGGCTCGGAGCTCTATGAGGATGCGCGCCTGGCAGGTTTCGAGAGGCTCCAGGTCGACTCGGAGACTTGGGTCTTCGATTCGCCGAGTTAGCCAGTTTTGGTGGGTAGCCTGGGATATAGCCCGCTGATTTTTTTTTTTGAATCCCCCTAAGTGGGGGTAACTTTGTTATAAGGGGGCGAAAAAAAAATGTTTAAACACATGGCGAGGTCTTGGATTCGCCAAGTTGGGTAAGTTGGAACGATAAGCTATAGGATATATCGCCCACTATATGAGTGTCCCCAAGGGGTTAACCTTGTTGTAAAGGTATTATAAGTTATGTCCCAAGTGGCGATCACCACTTCTTAACTTGGCCGAACACCCAAGTACAAATTGGGGTGAGTCAAAAACATGAATCAGGCGACGCCCCCCAACAGCATGAGGCACACTTGCGACCATGTAACTGCCCCATACATTCCTGGAACCTCCCCACGCCAGCGTGCATCCTCCTCGGAACCGTACCTGAGAGCGGCCCCGGACCACCCCAAACCTTGTTTGGGTACTGGTCAAACAAAAAAAGGGGAAAAAAAGGCACCAAGGGACCACAGGTTTTAGTCCTTGGTTCTATGTACTAGGGTAAGCCATTTTGGGTACTTATTGATGACCCAAACCCTATCTGGGCAAAGATACCATAGCTCTAAGCAGTTGGGGAAGTATACGTATTCATCGCCTGTACCAGCTGAACTTGGAGCTTCTTGTAAGCCATGTTCGTTTTTGGTGGTTTTCGTTGAAACTATACAAACCCTAAATGGAGCAGCGAAGAGGTTCACAAGCGAATTGGGTGAAACGGGCGGTTTCATTCATGCAGGTTCCTTGCTTGTTGATTTCGGACATTTCCGACTGAATGAAAGCCGGTGGGCCTGGGACTGTCTTGTTGGCGGCCCCTTTTGGGCTGTTCAGGGAGAAAAGCAAGCATTTGCTTTTGGTTTTTGGGCAACCACCAAGTTGGAGACGATTGGGGCAAGGTACTAATGTACTACGTGGGTGTTCGTTGCCAAGCGAGTAAGCCAGTGGATGCATTTACCAGGTAAAGGTACGTAACCATGGGAACCAACAAGAAAATAGCTGTAGAGCAGGGAACCGCCCTTTACAAACCAAAAGGAAAATAGCTGGTTGCCTACTGCGTGGGAAAGTGGGATGCACTGGGTATAGGTTATAATCCACAAATTAGCTCCTCGGTGACATATTGGGTTAACCTTGTTAGGGGGTGCAAAAACCCAAGTGGCAAACCTCCCAGTAGTACCCTTTCTCACCCCGTTTTTGGGGGAGGGCTCCCCTACTAAAATAGACGTCCTGAAAAAATGTTGCTACCCTTATTCTAACCTCTCTACTGGAGGACCTAGGAATTTCGTCAACCGGGGCCATTGTTTTTGCTAGGAGAGCCATGGCCGTACTCAGAGAGGTTTGATCATTGGGCGTTCAACCTGTGGGCAAGTACCAGTCTGCATGACCCTTCAACATGGCTTGTGTGGAATGACCCATGTTTCAAGGGTCAGAAGGAGGCTCCAGGTTTGTTAAACTCATAGTTATAGCCATACCGCACAAATGCAAAAAAGGCTTCCTGTTGATTGGCCATTCGAACCCACCAAAACGGGGCTCGAGACTTGCCGCCATATTCGGATTCAGAGTCATAGCTTGCGCCATTGGAACCGTTCCTAAAATGCTATGGCTATTCTTGCTATTACTATGGCTGCTATGTTACTATGGCTATATCACTATGGCTGTATTATGAGGGACTATTTTTAAGGAACCTATTATATGACCCTAAGCCCTTCAAAAAGCGGCCCAAGTTCCGACAGAGCCGGTTTCGTGCCAGGCGACGCGCCTAGATGCATCCTCCTTCCTGGCGCCGAAGCCCCGGGCTTTTGGACGGGAGGGACGGGGACGGAGAGGTTTTGTTGTGGGCCTGTAGGTTTTGAGGGTTCCAAAATTACCCCATTTTTGGGTTAGCCGCTTCCTCGGTCCCAGACAGCCTGTTGATCTTCTTGAGCTTCTTGTTGGTCTGTCTCTTTTTTTTGGGGCTGACTCCATGAGCCTTCAAAAATAAAATGTGTCAATGACCAACCATGATTTTGGGTAATGACCAACCATTTTTATAAGGGTAGCAAAAAGCTTTGTTTGCAGACCTGAACAGAACCCCAAAACCTCAAAACATGCCAAGAGCAGTGAAGATAGATACAGCTCCTGCTCATGTGCGATCCGTCCCCGAAATCCAGCCAGCTGAAACTCAGGACCGAGAAACCTTGGCGGTCTTTCAAAAACCGGCCCAGGCAGACAGACTACAAAACCAGCCCCTAAAATTGATCATTTTCTCGAACCAACCTAACCTCAGACAACCATTTTCGCTGGTTTTGCTCAGACAAACAGTTTCGCTCCAAACCAACCCAACCTCTGCCCAAAGGACCCTGAACCAAAAGGCTAATCTCTTCAAACCATGATGATTTGTAGACCAACTTTGCAGAAAGCCAAAAGCTTGATTCGCTTTGGGTAACTGAGTAACAAGGGTACCTGGGGTCTCCCCATGCCAAGGGTTGTAAAGCTATGTTGCCACAAAACGAGCAACCGAGCAAAGACGGGGTTCCCATGCACCAGCCAGTTTACAGTGAACATGAGAGGCTCTCAATATTGCTGGTGACTTTTTTCCTTGAACACCACTTGGAGGGCTATATCAAGGATGTCACGTGTTGGTTTGTGTTTTACTCCATGCTTCTTCTGGAAAGGGCCAATCTTCTATTGAGTTTCCTCTAATGTTGACCCCAGAATATCAAGCCCTGTTTACTAGGGGGGCCCGGTGTCCCTCCGTGAAATGTGGGGAATCATCGGAATCAGACCACTTTTGGAGGGCCGCCACCCCTCGAACAGCTCTTGGGAAGGCTGCTCCTTTGACTTTCCGGTTTTGGGCGGTCCATGTTCTTTGACTTGCTGAAGAATATGAGTTTTCCTAGACAAACAAAGACAAGCACGAATCTTTGGCTTGGTTTTACAAGGAAATGATCACTGCTGGAAATATGCTTTTATTTTGTCAAGGGGAGCAAATTGAGGTGTTCAATCGGTTTGGCAGATTGGGCATTGATGGATATGAATTTTGGGTGGTCCCTTCTCGGTTTCTGGTGGTAATATTGTTTCTGACACCCTCGCTTGTGGGGAGGAAAGGGAGGGCCGGCTCTACATGGTCCAATGCCCTTTTGGAGACGCAAGTTGTCTTATCCGGGGCTCATGATGTCCAGACCTGCAGAGGGTTTTGCATCAAACCTCTTCAACAAACACAGGGTGCATGTTTTTCACACGCCAAGTTATATGCCTTTCCAGTCTTCCAAGGGAGACCAAAAGGAAACTGGTGCCATTTGTGTGGCACCCTGGTTTTGACGAACCCTTGCTTTGTGTGGGCTTGATTTGCATGATTGAATCGATATGAGCGATGAATGTTCTATTGCTGTCATGATTATCAGTTTTGGTTTGTCCGTTTCCTACCAGTCTCTGGCAATATCGAAGAACAATACAACATTTGAGGTGTGTGTGTGTGTGTGAAGCAACACACTTTTATGCGTTTGATTGGCAAGACGCTGCGTCATTTTGGTCGGGGGCCAAAGGCCAAAACTTATGATGGGCCGGTCAGCTCAGCAGATCACCCCCCAGGACCATGGATTTGCACCATTGTTTCTTTTTGCATTCATCCCAGCCCAGTGGTGCCAATTCGTTTTTCTTTTTTTTGGGAAGGGTTCCCTTTAAATTCAACCAACCAACAAAAAGGATGCCCCTTTTTTTCCGCTGGCCACTGAGCATGTGAGTCATTGGTGGTTTTCAACCTGGGTGGATCCCCGATACAACAAGTCGGGAGGCAAACGTTGCACCACCGCCGCGCCCTTCTGGCAGTTTCTGCGAGCATTTGGGCTTGTCTTCAAATCAAGGGACCCTTTGAAACAACCCCTCACCCCACCCAGAGGGTCCAAGTTCCTTCTGAGGATGGCTGTTGGGGGGTCAAAAGGGGTCTAAGTGCCTCCTTAGACGATACTTGGACGTGCACTCTGTAAGCCGCCTCAACCAGCGGGTCGGTTGGGCCTGTGGGCGATTCAAGCGGTTGCAACCGAGGCGAGCGAAGCCGGGTGAGGCCCTCAGGGCTAGATATCGTCAGGGCTTCTTCTTTTCCTGGGACCTGTATTGGTTCCAAGTACCTTTACTAGGTCATCCAGTAGTGCCCTTTTTATCATTTTTTTTGGGAGGGTTCCCCTACTTTATCGACTACAGACAAAAGGGTACCCTATTCTAACCTCTCTACTGGAGGACCTAGTTTAGTGAAAGTTAAAAGGAAACAACCCCAGTTTTCGACTTTGATAACCCACCAGAACGAGTCAAAACAAGCCCAGTGAATCCCAGTTACCACCACGGTCGGTAACTCTTCGGTATTCTCCTTTTGGTTTTTATATCGGGTTGCAAGCCCTTGGTTATCCATACAGGTTAGGATGCACTGGGTTGGTTTTACGGATATTTAGGCCTCCAGCCGTCTCCTCGTTCCCTTTTCAAGGGAGATTGTGTTTTCAATGGCTTTTGAACGCATGATGGTCCGATTGCTCGGCGAGGCCCCCGTTTTCCTTTATATTGGGCATCCCTTTGAGTTCTGCGAAAAAGGCAGCCTTTTTCCCACATGCAAGTGATATATCGACCCCAGGAAATAACATGCAGCGTTGTGGTTTCAGAATACAGGGTGTTTTTTTCCCTCTCCCAGCGCTTCCAGTTGCCATCATGGTAAGTAACCAGGGAAAACCATCCAGGGTAAATGCTAAAGGTACGGAAGCTGAAGGGTTAGTACCAGGTATGGCTACCTCTAGGTTTTACATGAGGAAATGCTGGCACCTGTCACGCAGCGTTTCGGCCGATCCGAGGATCTGCGTCTCCAGAGCCAAGGCGCTAAAGCCCCGAAGTGGAGGGGGGCACGGAGTCATGACTCATGACCCCTTTGCGTTGCGGAGGGAAAGATGTGCAGCAGGCAAGACGCCAGGTAGGCGTAACTATCCTCACCAAAATGAGGTCGATTCAGCCTATAGTTAAGCCTTTAAGTAAAACTCATAGAGCCCGCGATGTCACGAACCCTTCTAGACCCCTCGCATCCCATGCCCTCAGATAGCTCATTTCGGGTGGCAGACGTTGGGAGCCTTTTCCGCCGAAGAAAATTGAAAGGGGCTGGGCGATTTGGCGGACCAGCTGTTTGTTTGGCACCACAAAAAGACTCTTTTCGTTAAATTGCTCCTGCCGCCCCTGGTCAAAATAGCACCAACCGTGTTTTTGTCCATAATAGTCTTCCCCAAAGGGCGGGAGGGGCACGAGGCTCACTCCTTGAGTTTCTGGATTTGAGACCAAGCACTGTAAGCGGCAAGCAACCCGCTTGGACCGTTTTGGCCAATCCACGCAGAAAGGGGAAACTACGATGTTGCAAGACAAACTCGAGATGACAAAAATATCCAGGAGATCACAAGCGCTCAGAAATGAATTGTCCGGTAGAGTAATTAACAGACATACATCACTGCAGTTCATGTATGGCCGCAGTCAACACACATTGGCTATAATGATTATGCCGGCTCCGAGGATCAGCACTAAGGAGCAAATCGTTGAACTTATATGCGTCACGGTCAAACGACGTGCCAAACCTGCAGTTACTAGGTATGACCACGGGCCCTGCCGGGCTCCTTGTGAGGGCACCACGACCACCACGCATGAAAGATAGGATTCAGTGTTCTGTAGAGGCGTTTCACGGGCCCTCCGGATACAAACAACGGGACGTCGGATTGGGTTGAAACTTTTTCAATTCAGTCCAACACCTCACAAAAATCAGGTTTCCGAAATGTGATGGTAGGCATTTAAGGCTTGAAACCGGGACAGCTGTTTGAATACATTCCAAGAGGCGGCCAGGGTTCACCCATTCGCAACGGGGTAGACAGGTTTTATTCTGTCCGCGCTCTTCCAGCATTCTAGGGGTTGATTCCCATTGTTTTCAACCATCGTTCTTTCCAAGAACCGGCCGTTCCATCGGTTTCCGGAGGTTTTCTAGAAAGAAGGATCCCTGGAAAGAATGGGGAAGGTACCCTAGAAGCATGCGCTGTTGCTTAATTATTTGTTGATATCTTCAGCCTCGGTGCCCTGTGCGTTTGCAGGCGACGTGCACCAAAAGCGGAAGGGGTTCGGAGAGTTCAGTTCTCGAGCCGGTTGCTGTTTCGGTACCCGTTGCTCCGAAGCCTCGACTGGCCAAGTTTCGACCCGTTACCTTCCTGATGTACTTCAGTGGCCAGAGACTCGGGGCTCAAAGTAGATCACAAGCTGCTTTGGCCAGAGACTCGGGGCATACCATGGTTGTTGTTGGGACACATTTTACATTTGTGCTTATTGTGGTTTAGTGGGAATTCCCCACTTAACTGCTAAAATTTAAATTTTGCTCCCCTTCAACGTCAACCAAGATACCCACCAACAACCCGCCCCAAAAAAGAAATCTCTACCCTCCTCCGGAGCTGGGCAGCAACGGAACCAAACGCGCCAGGGAGGATGAGTCGAACGGAGAGGCGAGTTGGCGGGTTGGCCTGGAGGGAGTGAAAGGTTTGTGCAACGACGGCTGAGATGCAGATTTGTTCATTCCAAGCATTGCAAATGTACCTGGAGTCTCCATGAGCCTTTAAAATTGGGTTAATGACTTTATTCTTTTGGGTAATGACCAACTATTTTTAACGGTCAGAGGGGGACTCCAGGTATGGAGGTCTCCGTTGGATGTGCGAGTGGCGCAAAGGGACTCAAGTGCTCAGCATTGCTTTTCCGTTTTGCCAGGAGCCGGCTGATGAGACGACCCCTGCATCGCAGCGTGGCCGAAATTCATCCATGGGAGCGGCTTGCACGTCAAGAGTTGAGATCCCCTAGGCGATGGGAGGGGCGGGGGGGGGGGGGGGGTGTCCCTGGTTATCCTTTCGGCTTCCCTTAACAACCACCAAAAGGGGGGGTACCCCAAAAAGACGAGCCACCCATATGGGAGTTGATCAAAATAGTGGACCCTTTTGGTTGCTTGTAGGAAACAACAAAAACCTCTGCGGCTGGGTCCATCCCCTCTACCAAAAGAGGGGGGAGGTTGGGGCCCAGAGGGCACACACGATCCATGAGCCTGTGGTTTTTGGATGGTACCCTTGGTCTCTTTTGAAAGCGAAGCCAGAAGGGGGTCCCGTAAAAAGTGATCAGACTGTGGATGGACAAAGACCTAAACTATTTTGAAACCGTGAGAAACCGTGAGAAACTATTTTTTAAACTATTTTGAAACTGTTCGTTGGATTTCGTCCACAGTATTTTGTGGGAGTCAACAGCCAAAGAGGGTTTCCAAACTACAAGCGAGCGAGGCCAAACAATGGTTTGCATACTATAACCATTTTCCACAGTTCAGCGGCCCTTGACGGGGGTTGGTGGGTGTAGGTCCTCATACCCTCAGTAGGGATTCTAGACAACCACGATATGGTTTTCGTGGTAGAGGGAACCATGATCATGGCCCACAAGGAGTTTGAACCTCGACCATGGCACATATGGAAGTTTGTTCATGTGTGGCTACCATGAGTACTGAGTTCCAAGATGGTTCACTATCCCCAAACAACTACCCCCACAGGTTAACGGAGTACACATCCACAACTGCGTTCTTTTTTTCCCTAGGGGGTTGTGGGGTAGTGGCAGAACCATAGATGTGTATGAGACTTCTTTGGCATGAGAAACGTTGGGACCCGCCATAGATGAGTTGAGGCCCTTCAAAGATCCGTCCGCACATCCTGCTTACCGGGGGCAGGCTGCGTAGCAAGTGCTTGGAAACCCTGGCCATAAACATGTTCCCCTGTTATATGTCCGGTGATTTCGTAGTCTTTCCAACTTGTTTTCACTTGAGGGGTCGGTACGGGGAGGCTATGAAGGGTTTGACAGGAGACAGCCATCTAAGATGGTGTCCACTACGCCAATGGGAAACTGGGGTGGCATACTCTTACCCAGTGGGTCCCGAAGCCATTGTGAGGTGGTACTTGGATTTCAAGACCATGCTGGGGCTAATCTGGGCCCAGGACCATTGTGGCGAAAATTAACGCTTTAGGGGTCAGGGTGTTTGCATGGAGTTTCTGCATTTGGCTCAAGACAGCACTTTTACCCCACAGCTGTGCTCAAGATCGAACCTAAGCCCCATCAAAGCGCTCATCATCAAACTACTGTGCAAGATGTTGATGCTTCATCCTAAGATCACAGTCACATGCATCAGGCAAAGATACATGCGCAATCCAAAGTACAGTAAGCGCTACATAGAAAACCAAGTGTCCCCAAAAAGACACGCTTGAGCACAGTGAGCTCGAGGCATCGCTTGTGCGTTCCAGCTGCGATGCCTTAACAGCAAGCCAACTCAGCCAGCAAATGCAAACATATGCGACATTGAATAGGTGTCTGGCGGACCAAGCGCCCGATGTAATCTTCCTGCATGTAGGAATGGTAGCTCCTGTAATTGATTCCTAGGCAGCAGATGGGCACGCAAATGCATGGCCAAACCTTGATCAAGGACTACAAGGCCGGCTTGTGCTGCCAAAGCCACTTTCAGTCATCTGAAAGTAGCAGATCTCCTGCCAAGCCTGGGCAACACAAATATCACAAGTTCATTTCTTTTTGCGTTCCAATGTTTGCAGTATTTTCCCAAATGCAAACCAAGCAACATGCAATTTTGGCCTTACTGCCCAAAGGCGCTGTCCATGTTGCAAGGCCTCCTCCGCAAGGATGTAGTAGGATGCCAAGCACATGTCCTTAATAAGCTACTTGGGCAGTTTCACATATCAGTTTCAATTTGCAGCAACAAGTGCTAGCCACTGGACGCATCATGATCAGGATATTTTAAGTTTGGTGCTATCCGAATATAGACAAAGTCACACAGGACTGTTGCATGGCCATCGCTTCGGCAGCTGACAGGTAGCGCCCCGGTTGCTCAGAAAGAGCATGGAAGTTCGCCAGGTGGTACCTTTGTGCCGGGAGCCCAAGCTCAGAAACCCAGCTTGGTGTGCAAACAGGTGCAACAGAATTCCACATGCTGAGCTTTGATTTCCATTTGACATGATCATTTTCTGAATGAAGGAAAGAAGGGGGCCCTAACCTTGTGCATGGATGATGAATGGAATGACAAACAATGATCATCAATGATCCCCGATTGGCGGGCAAGAAGCGCGCAAGTGGCCATGAGATTCAGCTGTCTGTCCATGTCAAACTGGACAACCACGCTGCCGTCAGCCGAGACTTACAAGCAGAGCAAACAATTCCAAAAACAACTCCATGCTGCTCTCACAACCAGCACTTGCACACACACGTGTACACACATACATCAAAGAAAACACACTAAATGCAGCATAAAGACATTTGCTGCCTTCGAACTGAACTCCGGGTATGGGCAGGAATTGGCATGAAGTCGCTTGGGCGTGAACAAAGGCTGAGAGTGCCTGATCATGGATCATGGGCCAAGCAAGAGCTCCCACATATAGCTAAATAGCTTTTACCTTGTCGGGGATGTGCTGTCAACTAATCAGGACTGTAAACATGCTTTGAAGGCCAAAGCCACTTGACCCCTTGTGCACGCGCCCACTGAACGAAGCCCAAGTGAGCAGACCTCAGACGCTGCTCATCGTTCTCACCTTCCCAGGTGTCGGGGTAGTCCTTGAGGATCACACAAAAGATGGAGGCTGTCACCAGCAAATCCACTCCAAGGTCCAAGGTGTGCATCCCGCACCATTTCACCATGCATGGCTGAAACCGTGGAAGGCCAACCAAGGGGCCTAGGATGGTGGTAAGTGCTGTTTACATCACGTGCCATTGCATTAACTTGCACAATGCAAATCAAGTGAAAGCAAGAAACTGACCTCCCCAGGCTTGAGGCAGTTCTGGATAAAGGATTCACCATCATGACGAGGTTGCTGCAACAAGGGGGATGGGGCAACTGCAAAGCTGCATTTCTGCGCCATGCAATGATGGCAGACATCCTTTGAACGGTACCAGCTCTTTAAGTTCAGCCACTCCTTAGCTCCCAGCAAACCGTACTCACCCCACGTGCAGTATTAAAGCGTTTCAACTCAATCAAGGGAGGGCGACCGTGCTTGACACTTTGGTTGCTGACACCATCAACAACTACCAAAAAATTCACATGACACAGGTACTACAAGATAGGCCGAACATAACTTTCAATGAGTGGGCCTGAAGGCAATACCCTTCCTTGTACTTTATGGTCATGTGGCAAGCCAAGTTTCCTTGTGTTGCTTCCAATCAGCTTGAATTTGGGTGACCATGGCCCTTAGTTGGCCTCCACCTTCAGCACCAACCCCGCGGAACAAGATCTGGAAGCTCTCCACAATCTTGGCTTCATGAGGTGTCAACATGGACACTGACACTGCTGCTCAGGCCTGAAAACCGGGATCTGAAGCCGGGGCACTGGTTTCAGAAGGGCGCACAGGGTTGGGAAGCCAACACTGAGATCCTCAGTGATGATCAACGTTGGTTGGGATTAAGATGCATCATATTTTGCATAACTCCTCGCACAGCAAAAGCTTTCATGGCAAGCTTCATTTCGTAGGACAGCAAGGGGCCAGCAGGTTTCGGCTGAGTTTGACCGTTCATCCAGCACAAGCCCAGTGCATATCACCAAAAGGGAGTCATTCGCCTTGTTGAATGTTGCCGCATCAGCCCAAAGCCACATTGGTGCACAAGACGCATCCAGGTCAGCAGCGTAGCCCTTTCCCACAGCGCGCATGTGGTTCCAATACTGCTCTACAGATGATGGGTCCATCTGTGGCCACAAACCAGCATGTTTGATCCACGGGAGCAACTTGTGTGGAAGGCACACTGGAACTCTCCTTCAGGGGGCACCAATTCAGCACAACACCTGCATGCAATTGTCAATGATCTTGCCATTCGGGATCTTAAAGCGGTCTCCTTGGACACAAGTGTTCAAAACACAACATGCCTTGCTGGGCCTAGATAGGTAGCCATGACAGCCCACCTCATTTCCATGTCATTCACATCAGCACCGCGGCGTTGCCGAACTGGCACTTCGATGAAGTCCAGTGGGGCCTCACGAAGAAAACATGGTGAATTGGTCAGGCGATACAAACATAAGTGTTCATAATGATGATCAAGTTTAAAGTCGCCATATGCGACTGGCTAGTCATGTTCTTGTATGTTCAATTTGCTTTGTTACACATGTGTAAAGCGGGTGTGCCCCAAAAAAGCCGAGTCACTGCCTCAAGTTTCCCTGCAAACTGACGAAGCACATCTCGTTGTATGTTGGATTGCCAGCGACCTCCCGCCCCTGCTTTCCAAAGCCTTTTGCTCGATCCAACCAGGTGAACTCCTTGAGCTTCCATCTCCTGCAAGGGCATCCGGGCCGAGGCCGGGGTTTGCTATACAGTTATTCAACATGCTGGTTTCATGATTTTTCATGATCAGTCAATTGTATTCCCCTGCCTTGCTCACAAAATCAAGGGTCTCACGTGCGCGGCTGAATGAGCTTCCCTCATGTCAAGATTCATGATCAGGGCTACACACATGCTGAGCTGAACTGTCAATCAGACCTTTAAATTTTGCATCCAAATGGCCCCAAAGCCAGTGTGCTTCAAAAGATACGATGTCAAAGGCGAGCTGGAAGATGCAGCCGTCGACCGACCCCTGGAACCTGCGTGGGGAAACCACTCAACTCACAAGTGAAGATAATGCAGTGAGGGCCAGTGCACATGTTTCTGCAGCTCTGATTAATGGCCAGGGACAGCTCTTTTGAACCGACGTTGCGCGCATCTAGATTTGCAGTGCTCCCATACTACCA